AATACAAGATCGATAGGAGGCTTTTGATTAATATTAATACTACTAGCATTGCGGATGAAAGTTTGTATGAAACCTACCATTGTAAGACTTTTGTAGTTATAGCGCGAGCGAAGCCCCGGGTTCTAGTAGTATATTATAATTTGATATTTATGTATTAGACTAGCATTGCCCACGGCTTTGTCCGTGTTCAGATGACCAAAAAGCAAATTCTTAGGTTTTACATATTAGTATACTCTTACATTGTTTTTGTATTTTTTCTCAGAAATGACGCTTTTTCCCGCGGTAAAAAGTATCCTATATGTTGACCCGGATAACCAGCTACCATCATACCAAATTTCATCAAAATCCCTCCAGTGATTTTTGCGAGTTGCGGTAACAGACAGACAGACAGACAGACAAAAATTCTTAAAACTATAGATTCGGCCTCTGTATCGATAATAATGTTAATTTCAATAAGTTTTTCCAAAAAATATTTAATGTACAGATTCGGCTTAGTTACAATTATACCTATTATATGCATAGATTCATGCAGATTTGTTTATTTATATGGATTCAAACATTAAAGGATATCTTTGTTTGGTTTTATTAACATGTTAACAGAAGTACTTCCTTGTCTAGACGGTCTCCTGGTCTAGGTATACATCGCACGAGGGGATTGGTGTCTAGACAGTTTATGATCTATGTTGCAGCTTATAGCAAATATTTAAACAAACAGTTGTCTATTTTATAGCGACTCACCCTCGCTTAGCTAGATAAAAACAAATATATTCCACAGAAAACGTACATTTTTCCAGGATGATATAGCCTATAGCCTTCCTCAATAAACGGGCTATCTAATACAAAAAGAATTTTTCAGATCGGATCAGTAATTCCTGAGATCAGCGCTTTCAATCAAACAAACAAACTGTGTCTCTTTATAATATTAATATAGGTCCGCCAACCCGCACTTGGCCAGCGTGGTGGACTATGGCTTGATTCCCCTCGTACTGAAGGGAGGCCCGTGCCCAGCAGTGGGACTTTAAAAAAAAGGGCTGAATACATACAATACATAGGTCATTATCTCTTGAATCATGAAGACGTTTTCAAGATGTTAATGAGGAATTGGGCGTATCTTTCAAGCGTATGAACGAAAGGAAGGCGGGCCTGTAGATAAACTTGCATTGTATATCTAATCGATGACATTGGTAATACGGTCATCAGATGCATGGCATGTGTAATGCTTTAATCTTATCCTGTATTTGTATTTTAGTGTGTCAAAATGTGTCACATTAAATGTATACCTACATATAATAAAATTCTAACCGAGTCGAATCTGTACGTTACATATTTTTTTTGGAAAATCTTATTGAAATAGTCATTAATATCGATATAGAGGTGGAATCTACTTATAGTTTTTTGAATTTTTGCCTTTCTGTCTTTTTGTCTGTCTGTGAACGCGTCAAGAGAAAACCACTAAACAGTTTTTGATGTTTATGATGATAGCTATAGCTAGTTATCCAGGTCAAGATAATATAGGATAATGTTTACTACGCGAAAATATCTAGTCTGAGAAATCTATAATAAACGTTAAAGCGTAAGTAGGGACCAAACCGAACGGAGCGAGGGTGAATCGCTAGTATTCTATAATATCTCCTGCGCAGTTGGCTGGTCTCCAGAAGATTGGCCGCCATGGCCAGAATCGGTTAGGACATCATCACCACATTGGTGTTGGTTTCACTATATTGCACTATACACTACTATTACATTATATCTATAACGATACACATCATCGTTAAAAGAGTACATTTTTGATCGATTATACTCATGCACTTTATTGAAATATCTACAAAACTGATAATTTTCATACTTATTACCTACTTGCCTCAAAAAATAATAAAACCTTTTTCATCTTATTTTACAATTATAGTAATATAACACTGATTAGCCGTTTGTTCATCTTCTGTACTAAACTTAACACTAAACTTTTCAGGTGAATAAATTCAATTAACTTGAAAGGCGATTACAACTTTAACGGCACCCTTAGGTAACTAATTATGTTTATGACACCATCGATCAATTAAACTGATGGAATTTAGTACTATTTCAACACACCCTAATTTGCACCAAATAATGCCACAGGAATGTAGGTGCTTTAGGGATTTATAAGTAATTAAAATTCTAGTAGTTCGTATATATGTACATCTTTGTACATATCTTTTTATTTTTTTATATTTAAGACGAAAGTGTATGTTAGTAAAGAGCTCAAAATTTGTCTTTGTGTTGATTTGACTGATTAAAATGAAATTTATATACATAAGTACTAGTTTTTGCCTAATCATTATTAAAAAATTGAGCAAAATAATAGTATTTATTACCTATCTATAAACCTATATAAAGAAAATTAACTGCTTTCATTTTTTTTATTGATAACTATTGAAAAAAAATCGGTTCACAAACAGAAAAGAAATAGGTACTGAACTTTGTCTTTGCCTATTTGTATATTGTTATGTATGTATCATAATATATAACATATTGCATTTCTTATGCATACAATATGTCATAAAATGAACGATTGATTAAATGATTATTTAAGTTGAATCTTCATAGTATTATATCATACCTTGATAAAATAATAAAAATGTCCGATTCAGATAACCCAATAATATTCGTCCTTGTATTACTCATACATATGTGTATAATATTATAATAGGTGGTACTAACGTGGACACTAAAAATCCTCAGCAGTTAATTATTATTGTTACGTAGTACGTATTATTTCTACTAATGTTATAAAGAGGTAAAGTTTGTGAGATTGTGACGCTGTAGGGGGTAAGCTCTTATTTTTGTTAAGTCCTGACTCGAAGAACGCCCTCTTTTCTTTGTTTTTTATTACAAGTTTCAAAACATTGTTAACTCAATGGAACACTGTAACAACAATGTTCTAGAAAATAGCTTTCCATGTACTACATGCTTAACTAGTGAAATTCTCTACGGGCTTTCAGCGCAATTTTTATCTACATACATATCTATAAATGTTCATACTGTGTAGGTTTTTAATATATAGAGTGGCTTATCAACCGTTATCCACTCAGTCGTTTGTTACAGTTTACTACGAAGGGTACATTTTTAATAATTTTGTGAAAATGTGAACCAATGAATTGTTTCTACGTAATTTTATAAAAATATTTTTTTTGATAATTTACGTATTAAATTATTCGTTTTTTTCATAAGTAGTCATAATAGACGCGATGTCACTTTGAAAATCAATATATTGTAACACAAGGACGTAGAAAATAGGGGCATTTTGTCTCGCGTAATGGTCACTAACAGACCATCTTCTGTGTTACTTATCTTATATTTAAAACTAACATTGAGTAGCCCTTGAGCTACAATTTCAAACCTAATTAGTAATTACCCAATAATTAAACAAAGAATAAATCAGTTTGTGAACAAATTCCGACGTGTGTGCACAGAATGGAAGAAATAAAAGAGCATTTCGTTAAATGGAGGATTGAAGATGTCAAAAAATTTACAACGTCTTATTCCAGTCCTGCGGTAGTGCACGCAACTGAAGTATGGAAGAGAAAATCATTGACGATTGACGAATTAAAATCTAGACCAAAAAAACAAAATGAAACTCACGGACTAGACAAAACTAGAAAAGAGCAGGGGTATTTTTCAAAATTGATTACGGATTTTAGGAAAGCTAAAGTCCGGCCATCAGAAAGTTCAGATGTAGAGGACGGTGTAACAAAGAAAATAGTAGGTCCTGTCGAAAATGCTCATATGTCTAAACGATTTTACAAAGATTCAGAACAATTGCAAAGAAATGCATTGGGTGATATAAAAGAAGATACGGAAAAGTCGCCGTTGAAAAGATTGTCCATAGTGGTCCATAGTAAAGTAAACAAACTGAAGTTGCCTGATTTTTACCATGGTAGTCAAATGTTTATGCCTACCGGCGATCAGCTGTTTTGGGTGTGTTTTTGAATTTATATTTGGAGCACCGATACTAAAATGTATGATAAATAAACGAGTAGACAAAATATTTGTTTTTAAATATATGTATATATTTTCAATTTCATAAGTGTCATCAATTTTATATAATAATTATAATTTAAAAGTGTTGTATGTATAAATTATAAGTATTATTGTCAAGTGTAGAAACTGTTCAAGGACTAAAGCGATATAAAGCGGACTATGATTAATTTGTTTGATGATCTATGGTTAATTAATTGCATACACTAACAACTTACCCTCACTTCGCTCGGGTTTGTCCCTAGGTACGTTTTAACGATTAGTACGGAATAAATAGACTATAATTTATATGATGTATAGCCTATAGCCTTCCTCAATAATCAGGCTATCCAATGCAAAAACAAATTCAAATCGGATTAGTAGTTCCTGAGATTAGGGCGTTGAAACAAACAGACAAACTCTGATAATAAATAAGCCGTAATTATATATGTATGTACATACACATTTTTTATTAGGGGAAAATAATAATAAGTGTTTGACAATTAATGAGAACTTTGAATTTTCTATAGGATTATATAAATTATTTACATTATAATTTATAACTACAAAAATACAATTTAAGAAATATAAAATATACCTACATATATACAAATATAAATAATAACTAAGAATTAGTTAACCAAGGATCGCTATCAAGATTTATTTTGATTTATAACATGCGATTAGCGATTGCTTCCCAATACAAACTTTTATCTCCTTTTTACCCCCTTAAGAGTTAATTACCGGGATAAAAAGTATCCTATGTCCTTCCCAGGGTCTCAAATTATCTTCTTACCAAGTTTCATCTAAATCGGTTCAGTAGATCCAGAGATTACCCTCTACAACGTCACAAACTCACAAACTTTACCTCTTTATAATATTAGTATCGATAAATAGTACAATATTGCTCAGTAAAATTGTTCCCACTCCAATAAAATGTCCACTTAAGCATATGATTCGTTGTATGTATTATGTTTAGTACTAAAACAATATATTTTCCTTAGCTCGGTGAAACCCGTCCAAGCTCATACGGTCCAGCAACATACCAGGACTTCAAAGAAATTCGCTCCAGGTGCTTAGCTGATGGGAGGCTGTTCGAAGACCCAGAGTTTCCTGCGATTGATCGCAGTCTTTATTACAAGGAACGGTTAGATAGACCTCTGACATGGCTTCGACCTGGGGTAAGTTTTATTTTTTGTACATTTTGTGTTATTTTTTATATATTTAGGTTTGCGTTACAGATGATATAGATGTTAATTTTGTTTGCCGACGTTTCGAATGCTTTACAGTAAACCTGACGTAAGGTTTTAGACGACTCATAAGTTATTAGGTAAATGGTAGTCGCTACTGAAGGTAGGTATCCAAAAAATTATACAATAATTTGGAAGAAATGGCGTACGGAACATAACATCTCGAACCAAAAATCAAAATAAATCCTCGAAAAAATCCAAATAGTTAATTTTATTTAAAATGTCAAATATTCACGTAAGTCTTATCAAAGTTTAAAAAAGTATTCAAATTAGGCATAATTTGGCCATTATTCTTAACCGACTTCCAAAAAGGAGGAGGTTCTCAATTCGTCGGAATCTTTTTTTTTAATGTATGTTCACCGATTACACGAAGACGCCTGAACCGATTTGGATTTTTTTTCATTATATATCTTTTTCTTAATAGTTTGTCTATCTCTACTTGTCTATTCAAAACTATTTTATTGTATGTAATTCTTGCTGTGAACATTCTTTTATCATTATAATGTGTTATTTCTTTAGATATTATTAATTCAAGGGCCAACCTTTTTATGTTCCTTTGGATATTATTTATACATATATAGATGAGGTTATAGCTGTTGTGCATTTTTTATTTACATTTGCTATTGTAATACGCATTTTATTTTCTTAATGAACTAGATATAATTAATAATACTAGGTATTATTAAAAGGAAAATGGCTGCCATATTTTCAATAATTAAAAATATTACACGATAAGCGTACAAAAACAACTAATAAATTATATTCAAACACTAATTATTTTAACTAAATTAATAAATGTAGAAATAAAACTAAAATATAAAATTAAAATATAGCATAAAATCTGGCGTGACGTTGGCAGTATCGTTATCATCCTTAGGAAACTGAAATAAGCTAGTTAGTTATAACAGGCGTCATATTAAATAGGTCAATTTAATGTCCTCATGGCCGATATCTACATATTTAACACAACGACAAAAACAAATCTGTCCCACGGGAACCGTACATTTTTCCGAGATGATACATAGCCTATAGCCTTCCTCAATAAACGGGTTATATAATGTAAAAACAATTATTCAAATCGGATAAGTAGTTCCTGGGTTTAGCGCGTTCAAACAAACACACAAACAAACAAACGAACAAATTGCGCCTTTATAATATTAGTAATATATATATATATATATATATATATATATATATATATATATATATATATATATATATATATATATATATATATATATTAGTATAGATTTCCAATATCATTGCAAAGGTTTCCGGAGACATTTATTTGTGTTATTTGTGGTATTGACGCACATTAATATTGATCGCTTACACAACGAAATTTGGGCAGTAGTAAACATTAACAAAGCAATTGACCGAACAAGGATCATTTGATAGGTCTACACTAGTGTGTGTCTTGCCGCCTGATTAGAAATTAGAAGTTGAATGAAAGTAAAAAGAACGAACTGAATTAGAGTTGAACTTAAAACAAATTCAAATATTACCGTAATTGAATTTACTTATTCCATGTCTATTATTAGAAAAACCTCACGCCGTGAAAGCTAACCAACCATCAATAGGGGCCTCTTGCTAAACAGTCTTCATATATTTTATAGTGCGCTGACGTCATATATGGCATTTGATTAAGGTCCGTAATGCCAATGGCAGCTTAGGGCGGAACCCAATGACTTATCTCTCTTTAATATATCTTACCTGCGGTAATAATTTGACATAATTTGTAAGATGCTTATGGCAAATTGCTATCTCTAGTAAATAAAATTTTAGATAGAAAGAGATAGGTTATTGAGAACCGTTACTAAACCACCAATGAGATAACCTCTTGTCTCTTTCTTCTTTTCAATTCAATTCTAGGAGTGCCAGTTGGGCACAATATACTTCGCCAATGTCACGTAGAATTTCTTCTTTTCTTACATTACATTACACATATTGACGTTTGCAGTATGTCAGTTTAATGGATTATGTTTTCTTAGATTTACGCGAATATTTGACATTTTAAATGGCTCTTCTGATTTTGTGGCGGATTTATTTTGATTTTTGATTCCCTTTTCGAATTCTGTAAAGCTAGTTTTATCTACGTGGATTAGGTAATTTGTTATTATTTTTACGGCCCTATAACTAAGTGTCCTAACACTATATTGATATTAATAGGAAATAAGCGAGAATCCGCAACTATTCGTCGAAGGCTACAGCCGTTTCGACGTGCGGCAAGGAGAGCTCGGCGACTGCTGGCTGTTGGCCGCCGTTGCAAATCTCACTTTACATAGAAAGTAAGTAATTAAAAGCAATATGTATATATAGCTAGCTCTGATGTTTAAGTTATATTAGGGTGTATTATCTATATTAAGTTATGTTATTATTATTATTCCCGCTTTGCGAACACCTTTAATACTAACGTCTTACCCTCGTTCCGTTTGTGTTCGTCCCTAGGTACGTTTTAACGGTTAGTATGGAATAAACTTTATATTATATAGTCTGTTTCGACGTGAAACGAGGACAAACAAACACACTTCACATTTATAATATTAAAAATAGTATGAATTTGTTTAATGAAGTTTTCTATTATGTTAGTAACTCGCTATTGACGCGCTAATTGCGCGAGAATTTACTAAGAAACAAAAAAACATTAAATGTAATTTCCGGATTAATTAAACAAAATAGATTTCTATTCTATTTAATCAGTAGATAATTAATTAGTGATTGAGCGGTATTTCGCAATGCGATATAAAGATGCATAATCTATGAAGAAGTAAGAGAATGGTTTTATTATGACAATTTAGGAATCTGAGTCCGACATCAGTATTTCCCGCCATATGAAGTTCGCGTAAAATAACTTTTTTAATCTTTTACTGTAAGAAGTCTTTTGCAAAGACTAGGGACGGCCTAAGACATGCGAGAGAGAGTTACACTAGTTTTTTTTTTGAAATCGTTGAGATAACTCTTGATTTATAATATGTATGTATTTAAAGTTATATATGTGTATTGTATCAACTATCTGCTATTCATAACACAAGCCTCGTAGCGTATCATGGAACTAGATGGTGCTGTATGTTAATGTCTATAAAAAATCTATATTAAAAAACACATCATGGGGAATTGCCAGCCGTTAATGGTCAGAACTATAAGACTTATTCAACTAAAACCCACAATGGAAACCTATTGTTGTAGTGCAATGTATCAAGACATGCGGTAGCGTAAATTCTCAAAATCTATTTAACATAAACACATGACAAGTGGTTCATTTATTAAATCCCCTTAGATTAACTTGAGCTCTCAATTTCATAAGTACAGCTCAAATGGTTATTGAGATATTAAAGTCTAAAAATGAGCATTTTTTTCACTGACTGACTGACGTATAGTAGTAAAACCTAACCCGCTTCCAGATGACCTAAAAAGTTGAAAATTGGGGTCCAGATGGGTAATTGTGTGTATACAAAGGAAGGTTTACGATAATTACTAATTCCATTAAGCTACTGGCGACTCATACGATGATTCTTTAAATTAACGTAACTTTTTTATTTATGAACCGATTGAAATGCAACAAATACTAAATGTTAAGTGAAACTTACCATAATATATTAATGAAAACCGCATCCAAATCTATTAAGCCGTTTCTGAGATTAGCGAGCACAAACGCACAGAGAAACAGACAAAAATTCTAAAAATCATTGTTCTGGGTTCTATTGCGTAAATAAAGACTCCCAATGATAGTTTTTCGCAAATATCTTCCATGCACATGTGTATGCAAGCCTTCCAAAGTACCAGGCACCTTCGAATCCATGAAATCCGAAGAGATAAAAATAATAATAATAAACTGCATTAATAAATATTATTACCAATATAAATTAATAATAATATTGATATATTTATATATATAAAAACTAGCGACTCACCCTCGCTCCACTCATATTTGTCCCTAGATACGTTTTAACGGTTAGTATAGATTTGTCAGAGATGGGATATTATCCCGCAGTAAAAAATATGCTAAACATATGTTGACCCGAATAGCCAGCTATCATCATACGAAATTTCATCAAAATCTGTCCAGTTGTTTTCTCGTGATGCGGTCACAGACAAACAGACAAAAATTCTAAAAACTACAGATTCGACTCAGAATTTTATTATATAGATAAATTATTTGTTTTCCAGACTGTTCTTCCAAGTGGTTCCTGATGATCAAAGCTTTGATGAGGAATATGCTGGAGTCTTCCATTTCCGGTAAATATAAAACACTTAACTAAATACTATATATATAAGGATTTTTTTCCTTTAAACGAAAATCAAACCCACATATTTAGGGAACAGATTATTAACTATATTTATTGTCGTATAGATATGTATTTGAAAGATTGATAAATATAAATAAAGACAAAACAAAATTTTATTTTTGTCTGTAATTTTGTAGATTTTTTATATAATTATTTTATTTTCTTATTTGTATAATGGATATTTAAAATAATATATTTTTCTCACAGTTTTTGGCAATATGGACGTTGGGTGGATGTGGTCATTGACGACCGTCTTCCAACTTATAGAGGGAAATTGGTTTTCCTTCATTCCTCAGAAAGAAATGAGTTCTGGAGTGCTCTGTTGGAGAAAGCTTATGCTAAGTGAGTTATTTATGTATTTATTTGTATCATTTAACACAAAAATATATTTTTATATTCACATATTTTTATTATTTAATAATAGTTTTAGTAATTTTTTTTAAATGTTAGTTCTAACATCAAAATAATAAACTAAAAATATTTTTGCAAGCGAATATTAAATAAATCCATAATATGTAATTAAAATCAAATTAGACATTTACATATAACATTTTTAAACTAAGGTCAAAGACCTAAATAAGTGTTAGGTGCAAATAAATAAATTAATAAAAATATTTTTATACTAATAAATTTTAGTAATCTATTTCTACATATTATACAACTTAGTATTGTAGTAATTTCAAAGATTGACTCTATATCAAATTATATGAAAAACCGTTTTCTATTTTAAAGTATCTATACTAAGATACATTAAAACTATAATTTACTAGCGAACATAAAAACAGTGAAAAATAAAACCAAATCTATCCCTCGGGAACCGTACATTTTTCCGGGATAAAAAGTAACCTATATACTATTCGAAACTATAATCTATCTCTGTGCCTTTCATCCAGATCCGTTCAGCCGTTCTGGCGTTATTGAGTAACAAACAAACATCTATACAAACTTTTGCATTTATAATATTATGGGGTTATAATTTATTTAATTATAACTATTTTTAGATTGCACGGTTCGTACGAAGCTTTGAAAGGTGGTTCAACATGCGAAGCCATGGAAGATTTCACAGGAGGAGTGACAGAAATGTATGAGATGAATGAACTACCTCCCAACTTCTATACTATATTGTTGAAGGCTTATGAACGCAACTCGCTTATGGGATGCAGTATTGAGGTAAAATTAATCTATGTGATCTATACAGATAAATAATATAGAAGTGTCTGTTTGTTATGTCAAAATAACACCTTTTTCTTTATATTAACGGCATATGAAATTATATACGGTACTTATAAGAAAAACATTTATTTTTTATTTATGTCTGTCTGTCTGTTTGTTCCGGATAATCTCTGAAACGGCTGGACTGATTTTGACGGTACTTTCACTGGAAGATAGCAGATGTTATAGGGAGTAACTTAGACTACTTTTATTTTAGAAAAAGTATTAGGGTTCCGCTCAAAAAAAATAAAACGTACCTAGGGACGAAACGAAGTGAGGGTGAGTCGCTAGTAAGTAGTTATAGTGACACCTCGTCCATCCGCTCTAGATAAAGATTCACATAGAATAAGAGAGACGCAAGCTCAGCGTCTTGTCGGCCCACCCGGCATCCGCCGGCCGAGAATGTATTTAGAGGATAAAGGAGCCTCAAATCGGCTACACGTCTCTCATTTTATTATTATATATTACATTATGGGAGGGTAAACCGCTTTGTAACGCGTTACGGTGCCAGTCTGTCTGGCTTCCTTTTCTCTCACACATACGGCAGCGGTAGGCAGGCTCCTCCTCTCTCACTCTAACCCTCTCTAACTAGCCGTATTTCGGACAGATAAGAAAATTTAAGTAATAACCTTAGCTTTTCTTAACTTAAACAATTTCAATATTAAATAGTTCAACTTTGATTAGTTTAAATTATCACTTCTGTCGGGTGTCCAGAGACGCACACGTTTTTTTATTTAGTTTTAAGTTAGTTACTAAAGTAGTTTTTAAAACGCTCCGTAACCAAAAGAAATTTTATAAGCACTTGCGTTCCCACAGCCGGACCCCAACATATTGGAGGCGGAGACGCCCGCTGGCCTCATCCGAGGCCACGCGTACTCTGTGACGCGAGTGAAGTACGTGGACATCGAGACGCCGGGCCGCGCCGGCAAAATCCCGCTGCTGCGCCTGCGCAACCCGTGGGGCAACGAGGCCGAGTGGAACGGCGCCTGGAGCGACAAGTTAGTGTGCACAAACATACATACATACACACACATATGTACATACATACATTGATATTATTATGTATGTATCTATTCAGCCTTTTTTAACGTCCCACTGCTGGGCACGGGCCTTCCTTTATTTATTATTACAAGGGGGATTAGATCATAGTACACCATGCTGGCCAAGTGCGGGCGGACTGAGCGTGTCTTTCGAAAACTTGCAAGGGTTTCTCAGACATGCAGGTTTCCTCATGATGTTTTCCTTCACCGTAAGGCAGGTGGTAATCATAGTGGAAATGATTCGCACATGAAAATATCAGAGGTGCGAGACCCGGGATTTGGACCTGCTTCACTTGCTTTCCCAAGCGAGCTCATTACCACTGGGCTACCACTACCCATACATTGCGGTTATAAAATTATCTTCGCTAATATTCATTGCTCCCTCGAAATCTATGCTTGCCTTTATTCAATCCGGCTAGTATAGACCGCAAAAATAATATTTTTTTAATTTATTATTTGTTAATAATAATTAAAATATAATGAAATATAAACACTCTTTCACGATCTTCGAGATGTTTTTAATATTATTGTTATATTACGGTAATATTTATAAGAAATCATAATAAAAATACATGCACCAAAAATGAGTATTTTTAAAATAGTTTTTTTTTAAGTTAAATAAAAGAGCTAGTAAAACCTTCCTGTAATAGTGTGTTCACTTATAATCGTACACTAGATAAAATACATGTACTGTACACATTGATATATAAAAACATAGATACACATTTCCTAGCAAATATCTCTTCAAAAAGTGGCGTCGATATGTCACGTCAACTCAAACCAAAGAATAAATCCAAAAATCAAAAGTTCTGTTTGTCTAAACATAAATTCGGACTTACGCACACCATTTAAAGTTATTTTTTAAACGAAACAACGTGCGTTTTAATTTTGAAAAAAAAGCAATTTAATTTCGAATTGTGCTCTTCTTTTTGAGGATACTTTTGAGACGTTAATTGCGCATCTTGAATTTTTGTATATCAATCAATGTCAATACACCTTAGAAAATTGATTTATTATTTAGTATTGATTATAACTTGCCAACCCGCACTTGGCCAACATGGTGGACTATGGACTGATCCCCTCGTATTGAAGGGAGGCCCACGCCCAGCCGTGGGACTTTAAAAAGAGCTGTATATAATTCATTATAACTTATTCCTAGGTCACCTGAATGGCGTTTCATTCCGGAATCGGAGAAAGAGGAATTGGGATTAACTTTCGATGACGATGGAGAATTTTGGATGGCATTCAAAGACTTTACGAGTCACTTTGACAGGTATTTATATACATTTATATTTTAAATTATTATACTTTCAAAGTTCTATCAAAATTGTTTTAATAATAGAAATTGCTTAAGACTTTTGAAGAGAAAAGTTTTATAGGCAGGTTTGTTTGGATAGGGAGTAAATTCATGTAAGTCGTCATCGACATGGTCACGTGACGTGTTAACGCTAACACTCAGAGTGCCGATAGATGTCAAAACCAGATACATGTGAACAATTTTAAGATCCAACAATTTGAACATCCAAAAATAACAACTGTTTGTTTATAGTTTTAAGTTCTCATTTCTGTCGACAGTCCTCATGACTGCCTTTTTTCCTTTATATTCATTAATATAATGGTATATATTATTATTTTTTTAATTATTTTTCAGAGTGGAAATTTGTAACTTGAACCCTGATTCACTGGACCCTGAAGAATGTCCTGAAGGATGTACTAAGAAATGGGAGATGTCCGTCTTTGAAGGGGAATGGGTCCGAGGTGTGTACATATACATACATATATGTGTTGACATTATTATGATATAAAATTATATTAGCTATTAATGTTGATTCTACCATCTCTAGAATAATTTCAAAACTATTGCTTTCTTGTGAGATACACAAAATGTTCCTGTTCTTTAAAACTAATGAATGCTTTAATATTGTTTAATTTACATTTTTTAAGTTATAATTCTTTTGGCACGTTTGGAAAAAATTATGAGAGTAAAATTTTTATGATGCGAACCTTTTACAAACAAGACAGTTGTGACATACGGGATGAAATCTTTAGCCATTTTTGTTCTGCTACGCCAAAGAAGTATAACTTCTTACGTGCGTACACACACGTTTTTTTTTATTTAACTTTATATAATGCTTATATGACGCTAGCAATATAACTGTTGTACGGAACCGGTATTTATGTAAATAGAAATTTACTAGAAGAAAAGTAGTAATCCGTACACTAAGCTTCCTTGTTTCAAATTATTTTGTCTTAACAACCACATTGACAGATTTTTTCATTTCATTTATATAATAACTTAATATTATGACAATTTTCTCTCATTTCTCAATATATTATATTATTTTTTTATTTATTTGTAACATTTACAGGTGTAACGGCCGGTGGGTGCAGAAACTATCTAGAAACGTTCTGGAAGAATCCACAGTACACCGTCACTCTTAAGGACCCCGACGAAGGTGATGCTGAGAACAAGTGTACTGTAAGTAATTATTGTATATTTTAACTTTGTAAAAGATAATAATAATGTTAATTGTATTTTATATAGCAATATGTCTATGAAGCATTGTTAAGGAAAAACAAATTCACAATCAAATTGTTTTAAAATATATAATACTAGTGACTCGTACTTGCTTCACTTCGGGTTCGTCACAAGAGAAAAACAAAATATTCCACGAAAAACCATTTTTTCGGGATGAAACGTAATCTATGCGTTCCTCCAGATTATCTCTACCTCTGTGCCAAATTTCATCCAGATCCGTTCAGCCGTTCTGGCGTGAAAAAGTAACAAACATCCATACTCACAAACTTTCACATTTATAATACTAATACGGATATTATTATGGCTTTATTAGTATATATTATTATTCAGGTACTATTTAAATATATCGAGACTAACTTTTGTCCGCGGTCCGGCTTGCGTATTTTATTTATGGATAATTAGCAACTTTGCATCCGTAAGTAACCAACAGTAGCCGGTATGTTACTCCAGGTCATAGACTATAATCGGTGTACTAGATTTCATCTAAATCCCCTCAGCCGTTAAAGCGTGAATGAGTAACAAACAAAATCAAAACCAATAGACTATTATAGAATGTTGCTTATTATATGCTTACTTAAGCAAATGCTTCCTGTAAAATGAATTTTACCTAATTAAAATATAATATATATTACACGGAATATGTTAATGAATATAGTTTTTTTATTAATTATTATTTACTATCTATTTACATATTTTGTAATATTTTACTTTTATTAAAAAAATAATATATTTACTATGTTTCAGATCATCGTGGCCCTCATGCAAAAGAACCGTCGCTCGCAGCGCCATCAAGGTCTAGAATGTCTTACCATCGGCTTTGCGGTAAATAATGAAACTATTTTCTTGTAAATAAATGTAATATATTAAATTGCTGGTATTTTTTGACAAACAATAAGTTTATTTCTGAAATACTAATATAAAGGAATTTTAGGGTCTAGGATTTCTAGGAAGAATGTCTGCTTCTTACAATTTTGCTTTAGAAAAATTCACCTTAGTTTTATCTAGGGTTCCATTTTACTTAATTCACCTAGCTTCACTCTCATTTCAATCATCCTTCATATACATTTTATACGGTACAATCAAACAAACAAAAAAATCTATCCTTTTTATAATATTACTATAGATAATTTTTTTTATGTCAAGACATATTAATAATAACTATTTTATAAGAAAAAACAATTTATTTTAGGTATACCGTCTCCCCGACTACGGTCACGTCCCGAAACCTTTGGACGTGAACTTCTTCAAGTACAACGCTTCGGTGGGACGCTCGCAGGCTTTCATCAACTTGAGAGAAGTTAGTGCTAGGTGGGTGCTGTTATTTCGCTATTTGTGTTTAGCCCATTTTAACGTCCCACTGCTGGGCGTGGGCCTCCCTTCAATACGAGGGGGATCAGGCCATAGCCCACCACGCTGGCCAAGTGCGGGCGGACTACACATGACTTTTGAGAACTTGTGTTTTGTGTGGGGGGGATGTATAGTAAAATCTCATCAAATCTGTAATGTAGGTAGAATAATAATATTGTTTATTTCTTCTTTGTGAACTGTAACGGCCACCGCAGTCTCGCATTAAAGGCTTAAGCAGTACGTTGTGTTTGCTTCGATATCCAAATAACTAAACTCAGATTTTACAAAATCTTATTTAAACTTACGAGGGTATAATTGAAAATCTCACGTCAACTTTAATACAGATAATTAAAAATAAATAAATTTCATTTCCCATATTGCTTCTGTAAAAATGTCATGGCTTTTATTTAAAAAAACAAAACAATTATTGCGAGAAAACCTTATTTGTATTTATTTAGACTTAATTGTATTATTTTAATGTTTGATGAAAATAAATAAACGACTTTAGTGTAAATCTCACGTGATAGGTTAAAGGGGTCCCACCAAATACAACATATTTCTATATCGTTCTATAGATATTTAGATTAATATATAACTATAATTAAATGTTTAAACTTCCAGATTCAAGTTTGAGCCCGGTCAATATATAATAGTGCCTTCAACTTTCGACCCCAACGAAGAGGGTGAATTCTTACTGCGTGTGTTCTCTGAAAAGAGTAACGACATGGCGTGAGTATATTGTTAACAATTATATTTATTTACTCGCTTCGCTCGAATGCGTTCCTGGGTACGTTTTAATTTTTTGAATGGAACCCTAATTCTTTTTCTAAAATAAAAGTAGTCTATGTTTCTCCTTACAACATCAGCTATCTGCCAGTGAAAGTCCCGTCAAAATCAGTCCAGCCGTTTTGAAGATTAGCTGGAACAAACGACACACAAAAATTGAGTTTTCTTATAGGTACCATTTATAAAATATCATATGCATTTAGTAAAAAGCTGTCAGATATTTTTACATTACAAACAGACACCACAATTTTATTTATCTGTATAGACAATATGCAAATAGTATCATATATTAATATAAAATCATTTTAGTAATTATTATCTTCTACTTATTAATTATATACGTGACGCCTCCGTGGTTAGTTTCCGAGAAATCAATTGTTTACTGACATGCCGGCGTATCCGCGACCCTTCAAGCGTTAATCTTTCTAAGAAAATATAATGAGAATTATCATTTTTGTTTTTTTTTTGTTGTTGAAAAATTGGTTTATTTGTTACTTGTTTATTAGTACAATTATACAAGATATAGTGCAAACAATAATCTTTACTGTTGCTGTTCGAATACTTCTGACAGGCTTCTTTCAACGGCCTCTTTCCTCACACGTTCCGGTCAACGCTTTAACATGCCCCCGGCCTTGGAAGGTCCTACTTCCAACAGTCTCCACGGTCTGTTACTGAATCGAGTGGTAAGGGGCAGATCTTGGAAAAAGCTCGTCTCGTGATGGCTCCAGAAGCTGTGCGGATTGATGCTACTCGAGAAATTCCATCTTTTCCGGGGAAGGTAGAAACAATGCGTCCCATACACCACTTGAGAGGAGGGCTGTTGTCATCCTTGATCAGCACAAGAGTTCCTTCCTTCAGTGTGTCACCAGATTTCATCCACTTAGTTCTCACTTGTAGCTCCGATACATATTCTTTTGACCATCGGGTCCAGAAGTGCTGCCGGACTTGCTCCACTCTTTGGTAATGTGTGAGTCGATGCGGTGCGATTTGCTCGTAATTTTCGCAAGCAGGTGAAGTCAATGGACGACCAACCAGAAAATGAGCTGGAGTGAGCGGGGAAAAATCATTTGGATCTGTAGACATGGGAGATAAGGGACGAGAGTTTAGAACGGCTTCCACCTGTGCCAATACCGTACTGAACTCCTCGAATGTAAAATTAGCGTTACCTAGAACCCGCCTAAGATGGTGTTTACTCGATTTCACCCCTGCTTCCCATAAGGCACCAAAATGTGGGGAATATGGCGGAATGAAATTAAATTTAATATTATTGTTAATAGCATAATCCTTAATATTATCTGCGCAATTGTGTAAAAATTTTGAAAACTCTGCCATTAAACCAGTGAAGTTTCTTCCGTTATCAGAAAATATTTCTGATGGTTTGCCGCGACGAGAGATAAATCGCTTTAACGCTAGTAAATATGCATCAGTAGATAAGTCACCCACTAACTCAAGATGAATAGCTCGAGTTGCAAAACATATGAATAAACTAACGTAAGCTTTAGTTAACCTAGCACCTCTACCTTTCCGATTTAGTACAAACACTGGCCCGAAATAATCAACTCCACTAATGGCAAACGGGAAACTGACAGATAAACGTTTAGCAGGTAAGTTGCCCATTAACGGAGTTAGAGTTTTACCGCGAAACCGAGTGCAGGTAAGTTGCCCATTAACGGAGTTAGAGTTTTACCGCGAAACCGAGTGCAGGTAAGTTGCCCATTAACGGAGTTAGAGTTTTACCGCGAAACCGAGTGCAGGTAAGTTGCCCATTAACGGAGTTAGAGTTTTACCGCGAAACCGAGTGCAAACGACACACTCATGTACAACTCTTTTTGCAAGATTCCTACCGCTGATAGGCCACCAAGACTCTCGAATAGTAAATAATAATAACTGCGGTGCTGCATGCAGTTGCCGTATATGTTCGTAGCGAAATAATAGGTATGTGAAATGATGCTTAGATGATAAAAGAATAGGATGTTTTTTGTCAAAGTTAAATTCAGACACATTAGATAAACGCCCCCCTACTCTTATTAATTTATTATTATCTAAAAATACGTTTAAATTTTTTAAATTGCTCTTAGTTAACTGTTTATTTTTAGATAAAGCATCATATTCAAGGATCGATTCCCGTTGTGATAATAAAGCAAGTGTACTCACAGCAAAATTTGGACTTTTATCATATTAATAAAATTATCTAAATTACTAAAATTGTGAAGCTTTATAATTCTACGTTTTTTTTTTATTTCAGTGAAAATGATGAAGAAATGGGAATGGGCGATGTTGATGATAGGGTGAGTTACTGGCTTTTATATTATTTTAATATTAACTTTATATTGCTTTATCTAAACTCGTATGTTTTAACTTTTAGTATAGATTTCTCAGAGATGAGATATTTTCCCACAGTAAAAATTATCCTATATTTTATATATATTATTGACCCGGTTAACCAGCTATCATTATACCAAATTTCATCAAAATCTGTCTAGTTTTGTCTGTCTTGGTGTTCTCGTGATGCGGTCACAGTCGGACAGACACAATAAAAAATTCTAAAAACTATAGATTCTGCCTCTATATCGGTAAAAATGACTATTTCAATAAGATTTTCCGAAAAATATTTAATGTGTCAGATTCGTGTTATTTAATGTGTTAGAATTTTATTATATGGCGTATAGACAAGCAAAATAAACAATATTACATTACCACGAAAGTTATGCTAGCTACAATCGGAAGGTCGAAAAAAGACCAAAAAGTAATTTAAACTAATTTATTTTAAAATTACAAATTAAACTTATTATCTAAAATTAATGTCAAACCTACTCGATGTAAGTTTATGGAATGTCTTTAACGATATGTAAAAATTAAAATATCCGAAAACTGCAACTCTGCATTCCCGTCCCGGTTTCGACATTGTGTTAATTATTTTAATCGTGGAAATTTAATTTATAAGCGATTCTCCTGGGACACCTGTATGTAACTCGAAACAAAACATTTATATGGTAATTGTAGAAGTCATAGCCAGAGGATGCAAAAAAATGTTACTTTAACATAAAAAATACTTCATAGGGACCGTGCATTTAGACTTTTATAAACATAAATATGTTGGGAAATTAACACACAGCACCATCTAGTTCTATGGTAAGCTACGAGGCTTGTGTTATGGATAGCAGATAGTTGATACACTACACATATAACTTTAAAATAGAATACATATTATAAATATAAACACTCATGACTAGAGTACAAACATTCGTGCTTATCACACAAATGAATGCCCCCATCAGGACTCGAACCCGCCACCGCAGGCACAGCAAGTAGGGTCACTACAAACTGAGCCAAACATGTCGTCTTTTATGCCAACTAGTGGCAAGAGCAGATAAAAAATAACAAGTTTCTATGGAAACGTGTTAGAAGTGACACTTCATTGGTTATTTATATTTCAAATCTGTAAGATTGATAAATTAATACACTTTTAATATTACTATGACAACAGAATGCAAGCGGTTGCTATGGCAACCGTGACGATTTCTCGTGACGCGACCTTGAAATTTAACGCTCATTTCAAAGAATGTTTTACTTTAAAAATATAATACTTAAACGATTATTCTCATATTGAAGGTTAAAGAAATAGCACCAGCTAACCCGGAACCAGAAGATCCTATACGGAATTTCTTCAACCGCTTGGCCGGAGCTGATGGAGAAGTGAGTTGGGAGGAGTTGAAGGAGATACTGGACTATGCTATGAGAGAGGGTGAGTTTTATTATATTTTATATATTATTTGAATTATATTAAGTTAATTATTTGATATAAAAAAATGTGTATGTAAAAAGAGTCTTCAAAAATTAGAAATTTCTTCAAGTATGGGATAATACAAAATAATACGTTTTTTAATTATATAGGATATATCTAAGTAAATTATAAATATTAAACATTACTCGTTAGTGTTGTCTTAAATATAGAAATTTTCAAGGTCTAAAGGTAGATGATGGTTTTAGCTGCATGATTTTGATGTTATTACATAGGGTTGGGAGGGTAAATATTGCTTATAACTTTATAAAAAATTTTTGGACTTATTATGTCATATATAAAAAAATTATACATGGTATTTTTACATAGGTTACTGTTATATAAACTCAGTCGTTAATAACAATGCCTTCGGTATTTTACTTACAAATATTTGATGTAGAACTTATAAAGTTACATTACATATTATTTTCTTGATGCAATAGCACCATTTTGTATCTTATCGTAACAAAATAATAAAAATTGTTACTAAACCTTTAAGAAACTGCTTTTACCTTTTTTCATCTTTTTTTTAATTTGTTGCCTAAATAAGATATTTTTTATATAATCGAGGTGATCTTATGACCTTACAATAATACAGTCAAAGAAAAATATTTTTCTATAAAATATATATCTGAGTATATGTGCTAATATTCATATATTATTTTTAATTTCTTTGACTGTACAGATATTACTCGTAATTTTACAAAATATATAATACTGTTATAAGTATTTTTTTAAATGCCCATTTTGAGCTTTCAATGTGATAACGCTTGTGTATCGCCGTTAATGCTTTTTAATTTCGTTCGCAAACGTCCCAAGATGACTGAATGTGTAAGTGTTTACATGTTTTTATATGTATTTTTGTCTGTATATATGTATGTAATAGATTTTTTTTTCAGCTAGTTTTATATTATGAAGGTAGTTTTTTTTTCATAGAAAATTGTCGTTTTTTTTACTTTTGCAATTTTATTTAGTTTGCGTTGTTTTTTTTTAAATTATTTTTATTATTTAAGGCTAACTTATCGCATTGCAAGTCAAATGTAAAGGCTTAATCAATTTTTTTTTATTTTGAAAATTTTTGACGATAAATAATATATTTTTGTAAAAACTTAATACAAAAAAAATATATAATTTATTAATAACTCTATACATAGATATAAATTTATAACTTATGCCATCTTTTATAGAAATAAAAAACAAACAACAACATTATTTTATATTCAAAATTAAAAATAATCTTTATTATATATATAATTCTTCTGTGAGTGTGTATGTCACTGAACTTCTCTCAAACGACTGGACCGATTTTGATGAAATTTTTTGTGTGTGTTCAAGGGGATCTGGGAATGGTTTAGATTCACAATTTGAATAATAATTTTCATCAAAAAAATTATTAAAAAAAGTTTGAAATTTTCAAATTAAAGACGTGTAGACAGGACAACGTCTGTCGGGTCCGCTAGTATATAAATATGACAAGATAGCTCCGTAGGTAGTTGCTTAGGCTCTCTACTTTATTTAACTTTAATAAGCAATTTTGCTTAACGTATACAATATAATATATTAGAATTGTGAGATACACATTAATGCAGTTAATTTCGCAAGAGATGTAGCGTTTTTATTAAAATAATAAAATTATAAATTTTCAAATTAAACCTTTCGCTTACATTGTACACTTTAACATTGTATGTATATATAATGTTATTAAATAAAACTATCTTTTCGGATTATTTCGCGGATTTATTTTGATTTTTGGTTCCCGACGTCAAAATAAATCCGCGAAATAATCCGAAAAGATAGTTTTATTTAATAATGTCAAACATTCGCGTAAATCTAAGAAAGTATTATATATCATGTTTTAGGGTTCCGTACCCAAAGGATGCCAACGGAACCCTATTACTATGCCTCCGCTATCCGTCCGTTGGGCTATATTTCATGAACCCTAATAGGTAGAAATTTGAAATTTTCACAGAGTATGTTTTTTTATTACTGCTATAACAAAAAATAATAAAATACAAGTAACATTTTTTTAACGTTCGTGACCGATCATCGAAGTTAATATACTATGTACATAGAGTGAAAGTCATATTGATAAAAGGTACATGTACGATGGTACGGAACCCTTCGTGTGCGAATTCGACTCGCTCTTGACCGATTTTTTGTAATTATGTGGTAATATTGAAAATATCTAATAACAAATAAATCGATGAGTAAATGTAGATTAAGAATACTAAAATTAAAAACGCGAAAAAAAATTACGTTACGTATTGCTATACATATTTACAGAAAATGTTTATTAAATAATTTTGTGTAATAGTACTTCAAAAGTTATATTGTAATATTTTTTTATACATTATAATTTGTTTTAATACAACTTTCAATCTCGTACCAGCTTTATATTATTTATTACTGTGTATTTATGTCTTTAATAATAAGTATTTTCATTAAGCTTTTGCGGCTATTACTCAATTATGAAAATATTTTTGAACGGATTTATTATTTATTATTTGCTTATATTGATTTTTTTTAATTACACTAAAATCTGATGTCTTAAATGTTATAATATATACAGGTTTATTCGTTGTGTATTCTCCAAGTAAAAATATTTGCTTCACAAAATGTCTACCCTTCCCACTATAAAGCTGTTTGACAGTTTGAAATAGAAATGGTAAATTATTTTCATTTCCCTGAACTTATTTATGTTTTTACAAAAACCTTTTTGAAAATCAAGAATAAACTTAGTAATCTTTTTTTTTTAAATCGAGACCACCCTTAAAATATAAAGATACTAGCGGACCCGACAGACGTTGTCCTGTCTACACGTCTTTAATTTGAAAATTTCAAACTTTTTTTAATAATTTTTTTGATGAAAATTATTATTCAAATTGTGAATCTAAACCATTCCCAGATCCCCTTGAACACACACAAAAAATTTCATCAAAATCGGTCCAGTCGTTTGAGAGAAGTTCAGTGACATACATACTCACAGAAGAATTATATATATAAAGATCATGTAAGATACTTAAGAAACACTCAAGTTAGAAAACATTTTCATTTTTATTTTGAAGTTGGTCAAAAATATTGATAAAATTAATGTAAAATATTTAGCAAATTATGAACACCAAGTATTTTGTTTTCATGGTGGAATGAGAACATCGTATTCTGATTAAAAAATGCTTAAAAAAACGAAATTAAATTTGAATCCGTTAAAAAATATTTTTATAAGTATAAATATAATGTATGTAGGAGGTGTATTATAATTATAAGTATTGAATAAATTTAGTTAATTTCATATTTTTATTTAAAATTTATATTTATTTTATTATTCATAAATAAATACATTTTAGTTAAGCTTTATATGAGCAATTTATTTATTTTCAATAATATTTGTTTATGAATAAATAGTTAAAATAACTATAAGGGATAGAGAAGCTTGGTTTAGGTTTGGATTAGCTCCCCCCCAACGTGCGTTCACCTTGTCGTGGTGGGGGGGCTCAGTAGCAGTAGCGAAGCTAAGAAACGCACAGGGAGGTTGCCCACTTCGGTGGGCGGTGGGAGGTGGCCCTCTTCGGAGGGCGGTGTACCATGCGGGTTGCTCCTGGTACTTCTCTGATAGCAGAGTGGACTGTGGAGCAACCCCATGGTTGTGGTGGTCTGCTTCGGCAGACCTGCCGTCGGGGCGTCGTAGTTGAATGCGTAAGCGATCCTGCGACGCCCCATTAAGACGGGGGAAGGTTTTGTTGGGTTTTAGTGGGTAGTACTGGCTGTATTACGCCGGTGAGTCCCACACGTCGTGCGTAAATGCATTTCCCAACGTTAAAAAAAAAAAAAAAAAAAAAAAGGTTTGGATTAGCTACCAACATATTGCTATACAATATGTTGTATGATATAAAAAACTAAAGTTGGAAAAAATATATAATTGAATGAATTGAATTCTGAATTAATTACATTTGTTTTTTTTATTATAATCAATAGTACATTCCTACTAAAAAGAAGATAATTCTCTATCCCTAATACGTTCAATTCAATATTATCGCTGTTTACAAAGGTTGCTTTATGTAAGTAAAGTAACGTATAGAGTGTTAGTTACAGTCTATTAATCCATACAATCGTCTAACGAAGGCGTCTAGACTTAGTGTGGGGGAAATACACCGTTGCGGGGGAGGCCCACTCGACTGTCATACGAACTTTTATATGACAGTCTGGAAACCGTTTTAGGGTTGACACTTGCCATAAAATAGCACTACAGTGTCTTAACTTCGAAACCGTTCTCCGCAAAAATTGGTATTTTTGGCAACCCTTAAAGACAGCATTTCCGTTTTTGCACAATATGACCCCTGTATGGATTTTTATACTGTGACAACACCACTATTTATAATGTTACTTTGTTCACTTCACCACGTCAAATCGGACGGTTTCAAAATGTTTTTATTTGATTTTCTTAATAATTCAGTATTAAAAGTGAAAAAAAAGTTTTATTTTTTTAAATCGAAAAAAATAGTAATTATGGAAGGCCCACTATCGGATTGGGCTTAAAAGTTGCATGATGGATAGAAGTTTAAAATATAAAATTTTCAAAAAAATCGAAGGATACACACAGTTTTAAAAACACAGTTGAAAACTTCATATTCCAAAATCTCGATTGAAAACATTTTAAATATACACAAATCAAAAATAAAAATTTTTGGAACCGTCCCACTTGGCGTGGAATGTTCCACGTGCAAGTAAAGCAACGTGTACATATAGTATAAGGTAGCTAACCGACACAATGGCTCACAGAGATGGCAATGCGCCACGGGCCCGCCGTGTACGAGGGCGGGGGGCCGCCGCCGGAGCAGGGCTGCCTGGAGCAGCTGCTGTGCGCTCTCTGCTCGCCCATCTGCAAGGAGCTAGGCGTGGACCTGCAGCAGGCGGTGCCGCAGGAACAGGTGCACCTCAACCAGCCGCAGCCCGCTCAAGGTATGTCTCTACGGCATCAGCTCGCGGAACTGTGTTACGTCTTTTATATAACCACTTCCTGGCAGTCTGTTAGGTCTTATGAATGTATTCGTTGCTTTGCTAAGAATGAAACAGTTATTATTGAACTCTAATTGATCTGACCTCGGAAATTGCTGATCTGTGTTAAACGATGAGTTTGTTATATTAGTTGATCGCTGTTTGTGGCTTAGGTAAGAAGACTTATTTTATTTTACTATTTGGAAAATATGGATGAAATTTGATTGAACTTTTTTTTAAGAAAATATATTTATCTTGTCTGTATATAATTGAAAATCTTCAATATATACATATATTACTCGTATATACGCAATGTGGAGTGTTATTTGTCGTTTCTTAAGACTTATTTATTATCCAAATAAAAGACTGCATTTAGTTTCATTCCTACGGTTTTAAAATAAAACTATTATGTTCAGAGTGTTTTTTATATTAAATTTACTTGTTTTTTTCCTATTATTAATATTTTTGTAGATGTTACAGGTGTCCAGTCAGCGATGCATGCGTCTTTATATATTTATGTTTATTGAAATGGAGGCAGTCGCTTAAAATGTCTATTTTTGTTATATAAGTGATTTTATATAAATACATAAATGTGTTATTTATTTTCAGATGTATATTCTTCTGCGTTTTATTTTAAATGTAATTTATTTATAAGATAATGCTTATATGTTCATATTGTTTTTGTTTAAGCATTATTTTATGTTATTCAAAATCGATTAAAAGTTGTTTTGATTTTTAATCGATTTTATTTTAATTTCGCTTAAGCTACTAATATTGAAATGTAAATATTACCAATATATTTGGAAATATTTAAATTTCTCAACGCTTCTATGTGCATGCATTTACGGCGTTATACCAAAAATGGGCATTTTATATGTTAGGTATTTGATTTTTATTTTAGTTAAACGTTAGTGTAAGTCACCTCCATTTCCATAAAATTATTTTATTATTTAGTTCATATAAGTTTTTTTTTTTTTTACTTTTTAAAAATCTTGAATATAAAATTTTATATCCAAGATTTATTTAAATTTATTATAAGAATATTTTAAGTTAATATATGTTTTGGCAATATTAGTGAAACATAAACAAAATGTAACACGAACAATGCATTTGCAGAATTAAAAGGCCAAGGATTTTCAAAGGATGTATGTAGAAGTTTAGTCGCCATGTTGGATAAAGATAATTCCGGGGGACTCGGCTTTGAGGAGTTCAAATCTGTTTGGATTGACTTGCGCAATTGGCGGGTGAGTAATGAGTATTCGTTTTTTTTTTTAAATAAATTAATGAATGGATTCAATTTAAATACTTATTTATCCATTATTTTTTTGAGCGGAACCCTAATTCTTTTTCTAAAATAAAAGTAGCCTATGTTACTCTCTATATCATCAGCTATCTTCCGGATGAGATTATTCGGAACAAACAGACACACAGACTGTCAATTTTTTTTTTAAGGTTTTTAATATATTTTTTTCTCTTAAAAATAAACGGATTCAGATTGGTCTATAAGTCGGATCTGTACATTAAATATTTTTTGGGAAATCTTATTGAAATAGACATTATTATCGATACAAAGGCCGAATCTATAGTTTTTAGAATTTTTGTCTGTCTGTCTGTTACCGCATCACGGAAAAACCACTGGAGGGATTTTGATGTTGTGCCTCCTTTGTTGTCCTAGGTCGTCCAGACCTCTAAATCCGGCCCTGTTTTCGGCAGTAAAAAGTATCTTATATGTTGACCCGGATAACCAGCTATCATCATACCAAATTTCATCAAAATCTGTTCAGTGGTTTTCTCGTGATGCGTTCCCAAATAGACAGACAGACAAAAATTCTCATTAAAATTTTAATTAATATTAAAATAAATATTAGTGTTGATGATTAATTACAAGGCGGTCACGGGTGTGGCGCAAAATTACAAGGAGAGCTGACCCCAAATAAACTGGGATAATGGGCAGGAGTAAGAATGAGAATATAAATACTTTTTTATATTTACGCGAATATTTCTCATTTTAAATAAAACTATCTTTTCGATTTTTTCGCGAATTTACTTTGATTTTTGATCCGCGACGTTTCGAATCATGGTCACGAGAGAGACTGACAGTCAGTCATCATAATCAAAAAAATGCGAAAAGATTGAAATATAATTTAAAGACGAAGAGTAATTACAACCCTGTGTGTGTGTTTGTAGGCGGTGTTCCGCCTGTACGACACGGAGGGCCGCGGCGCGGTGCCGGCGCACGCGCTGCGCGACGCGCTGCACTCGGCCGGCTACACCGTCAACGCGCACGTGCTCAACGTGCTCGCGCACAGGTACGCACACACACATACACACACACATTGGTATAAATCCAACCTACTCGCACAAAAAGCTTTAGTTCTATGTTTCTGAAACGAACTGCCAAAGTGTGGAACAGACGTCTAGCATCCGTGTTTCCTGCCACCTATAATGTGAGTTACCTCCTAAGCAAGCGCGCTCCAACCTAGACCTCATCAGTGCTTCCCAGCGTTGATTGTCGTCAAGCACAAGCCTATCTAATAATAAAAAAAATACACATACAAGCGCACATACACACACGCGTACACATACCATATAATATACACACACACACTAATCATACTGCGAATTGACGACACGATTGACTCAGTTTGTAGTAACCCGACTGGCTGCACCAGCGGTCGCGGGTTCGAGTCCCGCTGAGGGCATTCATATTTATATTATGTATATATTTAAAGTTATATATATATATATATATATATATATATATATATATATATATATATAGTTTATCAACTATCTGGTATCCATAGCACAAGCTTCATAGCTTACCATGGAACTAGATGGTGTTGTGTGTTAATGTCCTGACATATTTATATATTATTTATTTATATATAAGTATAAATAAAGATAAAATATTATTCATCAGAGAAAACTTGTCATTATTATGTTTGTTAGTCAAGCTGTTATATATAATACAATTCTTTTAAAGTATGACTGCTAAACACAAATCTAATCTCAATGAATTAGAATAAAATACAGATTAGAATGAATAAAAAAATACGCCCAGCTGTGGGACTTTAAAAAAGGGCAGTATACAATAAGATACAACTAATGTACATATATATTTTTTATAGATATAGCTCAAGCGATGGATATATATACTTTGATGACTTCATTATGTGCGCTGCTAGACTTAAGACCATGATTGGTAAGTGTAATTTATATATTTTTAAATAACATTCATACATTCATTTTAAATAAATTAAAAAAAAGATATGGATTAGAACTTATTTCTTATGATTTACTTCACTTAAAAAGATACAACATATATTTAAATGAATTACAATTTTTGGAATTAATTAGCATTTGTCTTTAGTATTTACTAAAGATATAAAAATTGTTCTTTTTTTTTAGAAAAGACACCCATATAGATAAAATTAAAAAGTAAAATCTAAACACAAGTTTTGATCCAAACCGTTAGAGCCGTTTTCGAGACACACGAAATAAATTTATATATATGTATACAAGAATTGCTAATTTAATATTATAAGATAGACCATTTTATACCGTAAATACAGTAGATATAAAGTATGTAGAATATTGTAGTTAGTTTTGTAAAAAAATATTATATTAGTACAAAAAAAGATAGTTTGATTAACACTTTTACTTAGTTTAGACATTAATGCTATATTAATGACATATGATAACAACAGACAAGTACTAAAAATGCGAAAGTCACTACTCACTGTGTCCGTGTGTGTATGTTTGTTACTCCTTGAAACGGTTGGAATATTTTCAATGGAATTTCATACACAAATAGACTATAACTTGGAGTAAGAGGATGGACTACTGGTTCTAATAATAAAAAAATAGGTTCTAATAATTAAAAAAATGTTTTTATTGACAATTAGTGACCCTCCCTCGCTTCGCTCGGGTTCATCTCTAGGTTGTTTCCCCATACAAACTTTCACCGCCATTTTCACCCTCTTAACGGATGATTTCCGAGATGAAAACTATCCCATGTCCTTCCCAGGATCTCAAACTATCTTATTACGTCCCTAGGTACGTTTTGGCGCTTAATATAGAATAGATAGACTGTATATACATAGGTATAGTGAGTTTTATATCCCTTAAGAAATTATTAATTCCCTATACAAACTCCCACACCCCTTTTCAACCCTTTAAGGGACGATTTCCGGGATAAAAACTATCCTACGTCCTTCCCAGGGTCTCAAACTATCTGTATACCAAATTTCATTTAAAATCGATTCAGCGGATTAAGCGTGAAATGGTAACAGACTGAGTTACTTTCGTATTTATAATATTAGTATTAAGTATGGATAATAATATTTAGTTTAAACAAATTATAATAAAACAGCAAACAACGAACCGCTCGAGCACCTCGAAATGAATCCCTGAGATGAGACTTCTCGCATGGAACTAAGTATACATACATACATATGTACTCATATACAATATGTATATAATGCAAGTAAAACCACAGGCTATTATCTAGTTTAATATGCATGCATATATGGTCATTATTAGAAATTCTAAATATGTATAATATTAGTTGATTGATTTAGTTTTATTTTTAAGTATTAAAATTTCTTCTATTTATTTAATAAATAGTGGTTTTGTTTGTATTTTATGCATATTATATGATGTTTATTTACAATGCTATGTACTGTGCTATTGCACTTCAAGACTTGAAAGAACACTTTGTTAGTTATAGTATTAAAATTGTGTTTTAATAATTTAATCGAATTATTTTTCTTCTGAACTTAAAAACAAGTGATGTGATATAGTAGAACTTTCAAGTCTTATTAATATTGTTTGTGGCAGAAGTCAAATATAATAAAAAAATATTTTTGTTGATATTATTAAGTTAACTTATTTTAAAATAATACAAATATTTTGTTACAACTGCTCTCAAACAGTACATTTCACAACTGAAAGCTATTTGTGGGTATACAAATGTATTATTTCATACAAATTCAACTTAACATACCAAATACCATACAGATGGCTTCAAATCGCTTCACTAATAACAAAACCGCACCAATTCAAGGATATTTTGTAACGTTTTTATGTATTTTTCAGAAACATTTCAAGGGAGATCGTCTGGAGGTGAATACGCAACGTTCTCCCTCGACGAATGGCTGAATCGCACAGTTTACTCGTAAAGTCCTCGAATGCCTTATAAGGCCTAAATTTGCACTACATTTGACATTGTGTAATCCTTACAAAATCTAATCTAAACTAAATATGCCTTATTGTAACACTAAAACTCATATTTGTCACAATTTTCTTAAATACGGGTATCGTTTTTTTGTTGTTTTCATGTAATTTTAATATTTTAATTAGTATACATACATGAAAATGCCTTAACAGAGTTATATAAGAGAGCAGTATTTTTCTATCCACCGATATTTCATTCCACTAATCAATTGATTATTCTGTTTTAGTCGATTTTTAGTTGATTAGTCTGTTTTAGTCGACTTTTAGTTGATTATTCTGTCTAGTGGACTTTTAGTTGAAATTAGTGATTTTAGTAACTGTGCGATTACAGCATAAGCTACACAGAGAATATAAAGTATATCTACGACCCACGTATATACATATAATAAGCCATAATGGACGAGCATTTTTTTGCAATTTATTTATATAATATGACAATTTTTATTACTATTTGTATTTCGCATATGAGATCTGAATAAATGTTCTATATAACATGAATTGTTTTATTTATGTACTGCTAGTTACCAATTTATTGAAAAAATTAACAAGTAGTAATTTATTATTATATAATATACTGTCACACTTCATCCATAATATATAGTCTTAATAGGAAAAAATATTAAATAAATGTCAATAGATAATAAAAATAGAAAAAAAAATAGGCCCAAAAATGTAAAATTTCATTTTAATATTCCTTAAATTTAATTTCTATGGTTTTACGATTTGACTTGTTTAAAAAGTCAGGTAACAGATAACTACATAGAGGTTATATTTTTTATATTTATTTAGAAGTGATCCGAGATTTGACAAATCAATCAAATGTTTCTTTAAAATCTGTCACATACCAAAGACCATACCGAAGACCACTTAAGCGCTTTATTTTAAATGCTAGACCTAGACCTATTTTACAATTTTATGTTATGTATGATGCGATGAATTATTGTAGGATTCCAATAATAAATAGTTGAATCCATAGTTTTCTCATGTCGCTGTAAATGCATGTATATAAATAAAAAGAAAAGTTTATTAGATATAGTTTATTGAAAAATCTCGTTTACAAACCCATGAACAAATCTAGACTTACGTACTAACAAAAATCACCACATATTCTCACGTACATAAAGAAACATCACAAATACTACAGCAATGAATTAAACATACTCGAGAGTAATGACCTCACACTTAAGGTGACTCCACGAAAATAAAATTGTAACCAAAAATATAAAACAATACAATCAGCTTTTACTGAACAATGTTCAAATACAAAGTCAAGCTATATAATGGACACAATAAAAATATTATAATTTTGCTAGTTTGTATTGCGTTAAAATGTTACATTTAAACTTATTTACGTTACCCCTATACTAAATTAATCAAATACGCGGAGAAAAAATAAAGTCACTATTCTCTAAGCCCAAAGTAAGATTTACCAATTTTCACATATTTTATTTGAAACAAAAATATATCCGAAATCCGAAAAGATAATTTCATTTAAAAAATCAAATATTGGCGTAGAAGTAGTTTTTAAATAAAAAAAAAACATACTTATTTGTGTACGCCATACTTTTATCATGGTATCACTTAAATATGTACCATCTCCACTGTAAATGCAGTAATACAAGCTCACAATCACACAGGCAAACGGAAGGCAACTTTAAAGTTTCCAAATAATTTTCTCTCCATACGAATATATTATTAAAGATTAAGTTTCTTCACCACTGTTCATTCCAATCGGCGTTCACATTCCCAGCGACGGCATTTCTTTGATTGTATTCGTCCATTTTGTGCGCCTCGAACTCACTGTCCTTCTCGAACTGTGAGAAGTGCTGCTTAAAGTATGACGTCGTGCTAGGACGTATCACCAACTTGGACCCTCCTGTAATGTTAGCATTCATTAATTAAAAAACTATTTCGGAGACATTAATTAATTATGTGAGCGGTTTTGCTTATAATTTTGACCACTCTCTCCCCTTGGTGGGATTTGGTGAAACCCCCACACGTGATATTTACGCTACAGTAGTTAAAAATAATACAACGTTCAGGTACTCCTGAAATAAATGTTTTTTTTTTTATAATAACCGTGAGATTTTTTCAGTTGACAAAATGGGACGCTTATAAAGAAAAATTTAATATATTTTTTATTATCTTTTAAAGTTGACGTGAGATTTTCAATTAAACCTACCTAAATTTTAATGAGATTTTAGTAAATTCTTCCTACTTTATTTTGAGCTCGCGTATTAATTAATGGATGTCCCCATTCTTTACTGCTCTTTCATATTGTAGCAAAAAATAATTCAAAATTTATTAGATTACATGTATTAACAACCAATTTTTTTATTGTTAGTCTATTGTTTTTTCTTGATATGATACGAGTAATGTAATATAATTATTATTTCACATAAAACTAAAATCGGCTTTAAAATCACTTAAAAAAAATTAATTTCTTACTTACTTAATGAATACGAGACAACATTTGAGCTGTTCATAATAAAAGAGAATTATCAAATTCTATACAAATTGACAGGTTAATCTTATTTATAAGAACACACAGATTTGGAAAAAAAGTGAGTGAAATAGTAAGTAAATAAGTGCGTGAGTAAATGAGTGAATGAGTGAGTGAATGAATGAGTGAATGTGTGTGTACGTACCGACGAGCGTGCCGTCTGCCGCCAGCATCGCCTTGAGGTGGTCGCGCGGCACGCGCACGTTGATCGTGTTGTACATGTAGTCGGAGCGCACCACGCCGAGGCCGCGGTGGCGCGCCACGAACGGCGAGAGCACGTCCTTGTTCGGCAGGAACGGCTCGCCGTATATCTTGCAAACGAAAATGGTACAATATGTACATAATAATAATCTATACTAATATAATAAAGAAGTAAAGTTTGTGAATTGTGAGTTTGTGACGTTGTAGGGGGTAATCTCTGGATCTACTTAACCGATTTAGATGAAATTTGGTAAGAAAATAGTTCGAGACCCTGGGAAAAACATAAGATACTTTTTATCTTGGAAATCATCTCTTAAAGGGGTGAAAATGGGGATGAAATTTTGTATGGGGAATCGAGCTAGGGACGAACCCGAACGAAGCGAGGATCGCTAGTAAATAAATATGTTGGGACATTAACCCACAGCACCATCTAGTTCCATGGTAAGCTACTAAGCCATATATAACTTTAAATACATACATATTATAAACTAGCGACTCACCCTCGCTCCGCTCGGGTTCGTCCCTACTTAGGTTTAAAGGTTTGGTATAGATTTCTCAAAGATAAGATATTTTCCCGCAGTAAAAAGTATCCTATATGTTGACCCGGATAACCAGCTATCAATATACCAAATTTTATCAAGATCTGTCCAGTAGATTTCTCGTGATGCGGTAACAGACAAACAGACAAAAATTCTAAAAACTATAGATTCGGCCTCTGTATCGATAATAATGTCTTTTAATAAGATTTAAAAAAAATTAATGTACAGTAATGTACATGTTAAAATTATTTAGTGACAAAATAAATTAAAATATTCATAAATAAATTAATAAATCAATAAAATATATGTACATAAATTGTGAAAGAAATATTCGCTTGAATATTTGTTTTCAACTTGATAGTTTAACATAAAACACTTTCTTTTGTTCACAATTTCTTGGGTTTTAATTTTTTTGCGCGATACCCTAATTCTATTTCCAAAATAAAAAAAGTCTTTCAGAGATTAGCCGGTACAAACATATAGATAGACAAAAAAAATGATTATTTTTCTTATTAGTATCGTATATAATTTCATATGCATTTAGTAAAACGCTGTTATTTTGACATTACAAACAGACACTTCAATTTTATTTATCTGTATAGATATTACATAGTTAGGTAATTGTAACGTGTGTTTGAATGGACACTAACCTTGACGATGTGGACAGGCACCTTGTTTGGTACGAAATTCTTCTGAATCACTTCCCTTGTTATCTTAAAAGTAAGAAATGAAACAATATAATTAAGTATTTTAAATCAAGTATTCTTACACATACAATTCCTATATGTGTGACCAATTTAGATTATATTTTTTGTGTACTCATGGGGTCGCCCGAATCGTTCTTAGCTATAGTTGAAATATAATATTGATAGTTGATACAATTATTAGTTTCAGATTAGGTCTGGCTCCGTACGAAATAAAACATGCTGAGAAAAAAAAATAGACCAAAACAGCACCTTTTTTTGAAATCGGTTAAATGAAAGAATAATGAAAATCGAATCTCAATACACCGCAGACATCTAGTAACATACACACAAAACATCCCAATTATATGTATATTCTTTATCGCTCTACCAAAAAAGAGCTAATACAAAAAAATTAAAAAGTGTGTTTGTATGCAATTCACTCACAATAAAAGTGAAACTTTTTTGGTAATTATCGCAATTAAATTAACACAAATCAATAATTAAATAAGGCATATTACAATTATATATTTATAGAATATCACTTAAGGAGAGAATATAATATTATATATTTGTCCGACAACAACAACGGTTACCATGGCAACGTGGCAATGTATACTATCTCATTCTCTCGCCGGCTTAATCCTATATATTTATGTGTTTATTTCTTTTTAGTGTCGCATTTCATTTCATCGAGTTTCAAATCACAACGATTCTAAAGAAGTTTCGCTTCAAAAATACACAGAAAATGAATGAATAGTGAAAACATAACTTAAAAACAGAAAAACCAATCAATTCCAACCAACCCCAGGTAAATACGGCCCCATGTTGACAAGTTGTTCCCGAACTTTCAATCTCGCAGCTTCTTCTATGGAGTCATTCTCTGGTTGCATATTCTCTTTTAGTTTGTTTATGTGATTTACAATCTGTAAGTAAATATTGTTTATCCTAAATATTAAATGAGCAACTCTTGTTAAAAAAAAGGATAGGTTCGACCTCTATATCGATAATAATTTCTACATATTTCAATAAGATTTTTCAAAAAATATTTAATGTACATTCATTTCAGATTCAGCTTAGGTAAAATTTTATTATTTTACTAGCATTGCCCGCGGCTCCGCTCGCGTTCAGATGACCAAAAACTTACATTGCAGTTTTTGTATTTTTTCTCAAAAATGACACATTTTCCCGCGATAAAAAGTTACCTATATATTGACCCGGATAACCAGCCTATCACCATACCAAATTTCATCAAAATCCCTCCAGTGGTTTTTCTGTGATGCGGTAACAGACAGACAGACAGACAGACAAAACTTCTAAAAACTATAGATTCGGTCTCTGCATCGATAATAATGTTTATTTGAATGAGATTTTCCAAAAAATATTTAATGTACAGATTCGGCTTAGTTACAATTTGATTATTATGTATTGATTTTTAATGAATAAAATATTCAATGAATAACCAATTAACAGGACACTGCTATTTAAACAAGCGTTTGTTCAATCTAAGCTTGAGTGGCACACATTCCTTCAGAAGATGTATGGAGGCAGGTGAAACACCACTCCATCTTCTGGGGCAGTGAGAACCTCATATGCACAAGCGCAGTATTCATCGCGGGAAACTATTCCTAGACCCAGATGAAATTATGGACTATACTCCTAAACAAATCTGCAGTTTATTACAGCTACAGGCAATGCCGGGTTTAACATTAAATGCAGCCCAATTATTGAAATTTTGCATAAAATGTTTCAATTTTTTTTATTATAATTTTTTTTGAAAAATGCAAAAGATTAATTAATAAAATATGGTTAAATTTTCGAAAAATGTACTAGTAATTCTTTTTTAATTATTCATTTTTTGGAAAATAAAAAAAGCATTTTCGATAAAGCGAAGGCAATTTTGATCCCACCCTCTGAATTTTGCCGTCCCTAAAAGTTGCCGCCCTGGGCATTAGCCCCGAGTGCCCCTAATGTAAATCCATAAATACATATAGTTCAATGGCAGTGATCACAAAAAACCAGGAATGGTCGCAGTGTTATTGTATATCCGCAACAATGAAATCTATACATGTAATAAAATTGTAACTAAGCCGAATCTGTACATTAAATATTTTTTGGAAAATCTTATTGAAATAAACATTATTATCGATACAGAGGCCGAACCTATAGTTTTTAGAATTTTTGTCTGTCTGTCTGTTACCGCATCACGGAAAAAACCACTGGAGGGTTTTGATGAAATTCGGTATGGTGATAGCTGGTTATCCGGGTCAACATATACTACTTACTTAGGATCCTTTTTACCGCGGGAAAATATCTCATTTCTGAGAAAAAATGCAAAAACTGCAATGTAAAAGTATACTAACTGTAAAACCTAAGAATTTGGTTTTTGGTCATCTGAACGCTAGTGGAGCCATGGGCAATGCTAGTTAAAATATATGATCATAACTTACCTTCACGTTAATTTTATCTGTGTATCTCGATAAAATAGATGTGACCTTTTCAAATGGTATATTGTGGATGGCTGAAAAAAAAAACAACTAATCATTATATCTATCTTAAACTAGCGACTCAGCCTCGTTTCGTTTCGGGTTCATCCCTAGAAAAACAAATACCCCACGGGAACCGTACATTATTCCGGGATAAAAAGTGGCCTATATTATATTCTAGACTTTATAATCTTTCTCTGTGTTTTGATGAAATTTGTTTCATCCAGATCCGTTTAGTAATTCTGGCGTGATTGAGTAACAAACATCCACACCCATCCATTCCTCCATCCTCACAAACTTTCACATTTATAATATTAGTATGATTTATGAATATGATATGGCAACACTAATTCTACAGTGCCTTATAATTTATATATAAAATTATAACAGCTTCAATTTGTTTTATATGATAACAAAGAAATAAATGAAAAACAAATGAAAAACTTCTAAGCAAAATGAGGAATAATAATCATACTCTTTATAGTACATCAAACAGAAAATACATAGATATAATCTATACATAGTATATAACAAAGTCGCTCCTCCTGTTTGTGTGCTTAGATCTTTTAAACTACGCAACGAATTTTAATGCAGTTTTCAGCAATAGATAGTGTTTGAAGAGGAAGGTTCATATGTATAATATACTTTATTACTAACTGCGTCGGTGCTGTAGTGGCTAGCATTGACGGCTGCACACCCAGAGGTCCTGGGTTCGAGTCCCGGGTCGGGCTAAGTTTAGTTATTGAGTCTTTCTGTATAGTAAGCCTCAGTAACAGCCCAGAGTTAAGAAATTGGCGGTGTTTCACCCCCGTGCCTCGGAGAGCACGTAAAGCCGTCGGTACTGCGCCTTAGCCCTCACTGGTCGTGTCTCGTGTCGTCCCACCGGAGTATGAGAGTGACAGGAATAGAGAGTGCACGTTGTGTCCGCGCGTACACGCGCTGCACTATAATATCTCCTGCACAGTTGGCTAGTCTCAATGAGATTGGCCGCCGTGGCCGGAATCGGTGAGGAGGACATCATCATACTCATACTACATTATACTCATACTAACTGTTAAAACGAACCTAGGGACGAACCGGAACTAGTTAAAAATAAGCAGAACGTAAATAATGTGAGGGATCTAGTTTGTAATCATAATAAAACATTTCCACTCACTATACTCCAAGCCCGTTAAATAAATCAAGTCACTCTCTTGTATCTGTGAGCGGGGCTTCCCCTGACTGTCTTGAATTTCATGTAATGTCGACAAAATAAACTGAAAATCTCCAAAATGTGGATGTTTCTTGCGATACAATCTTGTTAAAATAAAACATGAATCTATGCTTTTATTTGAGTCCATTATTTGAACGATGCGATTGTACACTTCCTGTAAGAAGAGAATTGTTATTATTTGGTTATTAGTTTTTAAATACTATACTTCAGTGGTTCCCAATTTTTTAGGCCAGGAAATCCTAATATATCATCATTTTCTTAACGGATCCCCATTTTGATAATAACTAAAGTGATTGTGTAGCAGTTACAAAACTTTCTTGTTTGACTTGAAGGAACAAATCATAAATTAAAAATATTAATATTTTTTGTACCCAAAATATAACCTAACTATTTAATGCAATGAATGAAATTCTTTAACATATTTTGAATAGCACTAAAATTAGGCTTCATGTCTGACAAATTTTTTTTAAACTCTTGCATAGAACTTCGAACCCAATCGAAACACCATTTAGACACCGCTACTATATCTGCATTACTTCAAAGAAAATAATATATTTATTGCTTGCATTTACATATATGTGTGTTACATTATACAAGTCAAAAAAGTCCAAAAAATTTTCTTAAGCAACATACACAATGTATGTATGTAGCAAAAGGAATATATTATATTAAATATATTTTAACTATAGCATTATTATTTTGTTCTAATATTAATAAAAATGAATAAGTAATAAAATAAAATAGAGATAAAATAAAAAAAAATATATGATATCCTGTAAGAAGGAATTTTCTTATAAAATAAAATATTAATAGAAAATTTGAAATGCAATCATTGGTTTTGTATACCTATAAGAAAATAACACAATGGGCTGAAAAGAGTGAACAAAACATGTGCATATTACCTGACCAATAGCCCTCAACAAACTGTGTTTAGTTTTAGCACTTAAAGTGTATAGGCCAGTGTACTTTGTTTGCATCTCTTTCATTATTTCTTCATGAGAAATGCCAATAATCTGAAATATTTTTTTACACTTATATACTGCTTATAATTTTCAAAAGATTTTTACTAATATATTATATACTATGTTATTATACGATGTCTCACAGGCAGTCAAATTCACCATGACTAGCCAACTGAGCAGGAGATATAGTCCACAAGTGTATGCACTAGCAAAAGACATAATTGCACTATTTTTTCCTGTCTCAAAATTGATGGAATGATAATTTCATCACTTGCTGTGAGAGATCAGGCACAGAACTGAAGACTTTATGTGCACTCTGAGGCAAACGAGTGAACCAATGCGAACTTCCCAACTCCGGACTGTTCTTGGGAATTCCTTAACAGAAAGACTCAATTATTAAATTAGGCCAGGACTCGAACCCAAGACCTCTGGATGTGTAGCTGTCTGTGTGTATGAATAACAATAAAAAAACCTGAACTGATTAAAAAATGTATGTGCCAATAAGCATAGGAGAGGGGAGTAAGAGCTTTGCTTACTTTTGCTGCCAAAAAATTCTGCTTACATAGTTGTATGGCTTCTATACAAAAATTTAAATTACATAGTCAGCATCTCAAGTGTCCACAAAAAAAACACAGTTTAAAATAGTGCACTCTTATCAAATAGTCTCGAATTGATTGAGAATTTATTTTATAAATATTAATGTTCTAGACATATTTAAATTTAATAGAAACTTTATTTTATATATTCACCTGCCTCCTGGTAAGATTTGGGGCAATCTTTAAATTCCTTCTTATTCTCTCTGGCAATTTTTTTGGTTTGGCAGCAAGTGGTAACTGAAATTATTACAGTTGACTTACATGACATTCGTATACTTTAAAGCATTTTAATAATCATTTAATAGTAGTATAAACATATATGTTATAATTACATATTATTTTAATTGAGTTATTTAGAAAATTCTACATAGTTTTCAACTTACATCAGGGACATGATCCGGCATAAAAGCAAACACTTTGGATCCCCTTTTAATAACGTTTGAAGTATTAATCCTCTCCACTACCTGAAGCGGGTCCAGCTTTTCAGATAAACGTAGGTAGCACACTCGGCCTTTATTACTTGGACCATAATTTAGTGCTTCGAATATGCCATGTATTGGACGCGCAACTGTTTTTACTACGTCCTTCAAATTTAACTGTAAATATTATTAACAAATACATTCGTTAGTTAAAGAATTTTATGTTGTAATATTTTATTATTAATGAGCACAATATTTTTTTTTATTTTTACTTACTTTTGGTGGTAAGCCACCGACTGCTATAATAGACATATTTGTAAATAAACAAATAGCAGAAATAAAGTAAGCAAAGCTAATTTAATTTTACAATATGAATAACTGCTTAGATATAATGAAAATATCTTTTTAATTTATATTACTGATTAGTGATTACAATTAGTTATTAGATGACGATTGACATTTGACATGACAGCTCGAGACTCGAGCTCACAGCGTGACAGCGCCCAGCGGTGCCAATTGGCGGGTAATTTTAGGCGATTTTTGATGGCGGGTAATTTTGACGGGTATTTTAGTAGAAAGCAGGTATTTTAGTTTAGCTTATGAATTTGATATTTTAAGTTTTCTGTTTTTTTATGTTTGATTTAATAATTTAAAGCTGTTTAATTGAGAACTGATTACTATGACTTCTTTTTTCGAGCATTAGTACTTTCTTTTATTCTATGTAAAACATGAATAAATTACATAAAAAAACTATTTTCGGGTATTCTGCTCATGGTTGGCGCCGACGGGGTAAACCGACTATTTTGAGGTTTATTAGCCGGGTAAATCAATCGTCATCATTAGTAAATCATCATTTATTTATTTTATTTTAATAACGAAAAATACAAACAAACTTAACCTAAACAATAAAAGGAAATATAATACCACCTAGCAATCAATCAAAAGAAATAGTACTACTCATCGTTAATAACATGGATGGTTAATAATATCCGTCACAGATACAGATGATGAATTTAGTGTCAATTCAGATGTTCCTGACTCTGATATGAGTTTAGACGAATAAAATCATTTTTTTAATATATGTTCTGTTGTTTCATTAATATAATTATAGAGTTTTTACAATAATAATTGAACTACGCCCATATATATACGTTTTTTATTATACAAAAACATCGGCTATCCATCGTAGCGGTACATCCCATCGCTATATACAAACGTCTATGGCGTTATATTATACGCATAGCACTTTGCTTAATTTTTCTTTCCATTAGATTTTATTTGTAGACTAGAACATTCTGGTCGGGTGTAATTTAATTTACTACGGTAATTAATGATTTAATATATTACGAATGTGGTACAGCTGAAATACTAAGTCATAATTTGTAAATCGCTGCAACTTTCAAGAGTGAAACGAAACGTTACTGAAACTGTCACCCGCACCATGTCCGTGTGCCTCTAGTCTCTACAGTCTACACTCCATAGACAAAATTCAATACGGCATTTTTAAATAGTTTGTGGATTTTATTTGTCATCCATGATTATGCGTTTATTGAGGGTTACATACTCTATGATTACTTGTTTATGGACAATACAAATATTGTCATCCATGACAAATACGTCCAAGGAACATTTTTACTCTAGGGAGAATAGGTACGTCTGTCTCTGTATCATAGAGTCATCATTATTAATGTTCAAATAAATTATAATACATCATATATTTTTTTTATTTTTACCCTTTGCGCCTAAGTAAAAATATTAATGAACAATAATATGAATATATATATAGCTACGTATATACCTATATAGAAAGTTTCACACTTTACAATAGAGATGGCGCTTTTTAAGCATTACCAGCTTCGACGACGAGTTGTACCTCTATTTATATATGTAGCAATATACTCTATGCATAGAGTTGAGACTATATTGCTACATAACAATTATAAAAGTCTGTATTTTACAAAATTGTAAAATTTATTTTTGGCTGGATAAATTTTAACTAGAATCTATTGTCATTTAAAATATAAAGTATAAACCTTAAAATCTAGTGTAAGATTTTGCTGACTGATGAATAAGACATACAATATCTACCATGGTTAAAATTGTTATTGCCGGAATCCCAAAAAATGTAATGTTTTCACTTCATTTTGCAACTAATATTTAATATCAGCTTAAAATAGTTGTTTCTACTTTCTATTTACTGTTTACAAATAATAATGTTACTGTACAATTTTTGCAGCTAAAATTATTGAAAATATTATCATTTTTAAATACTCTCGTGGAAGATCTAATGATAAATGCAAGTTTGACAAAAACACATTATAATAACGACAATACAAAACAGATCACTCTAGTTGTTAGGGCTGCTGATGCACCTAGGCTGAGAAAGGCAGTTGATGGCCATTTGTACAGATATGGAGGACGAGATTTTCCATTAGAATGTTGGCAAGAAAGTGTTGAAGAGCAAAAAATGGCAAAATCATCTAAATTGAGTAATGCAATGATTAAAGATGCAGAATATCTTAATAATCCAACAGCTGCATTAAATGATGAACTTCAAGCTATAGATGTAAGACTATAAAAATATTAGACAAATACGCCAGAAAAATATAATAGTACAATATTAGTAGGACATAGATTTCCATTCACATTGTCTTAAATTTTAAAAGAAGATTATTAATTATTATGCTAAGATAATTTGTATTTAACTCATAAATTATGGATCTGATGTGTTTATATACTTAATAAACAATCCTATTTTATGGGAAAATATTACAAAAATTTATTTTTTTAATTTATTTATTAATAAATTTATATTTTTCTTTATATTTGAATGCTGGTAATTACAGAGAATCTTCAAAGTTTGTTTTCTGTTATTACACATTGATGTTGTACCTAGGATTTCATAGTGATGTTACAGTCATGACACATTTTTCTATATAATATTCTCAAATACAAGATAGTACAGCTAAAAAAAATATTTCTTATTTATATAAATTACTAGCGACTCATCCTCGCTTCGCTTGGGTTCATCCCTAGGTACATTTTCATTTTTTTAAGCAGAACCCTTATTCTTTTATTGAAATAAAAGTAGCCTAAGTTACTCCTTATAACATTGAAATACCTGCCAGTGATAGTCCTGGCAAAATCGGCCCAGCCGTTTCGGAGATTAGCTGGAAGAAACAGACAAGACAAAGATTTTAAAAATTGTGGTTTTATTATTAATTCCAGATATAATTCCATAACCATTCAGTACAAAGCTGTTATTTTAACATTACAAACAAACACTTGAATTTTATTTATCTGTATAGATTGTAATAGATATAAACTTCTAATTATGATAATCATTGTTAATTTTTAGCACAAGATTGAGTTGGTCAGGAAACAAAGATTTTTGATTGAAGAGGAGAGCAAATTGTTGCTAGAAAAAAAGAAATTAGAAATATTAAAGGTAAGCTACTTTAGTTAAGGTGTATGTCAATATCAAGTTTTAGATGGATGAGAAGAAATGTTTTATGACCAACTTAAAGTTCAGTTCAGTTCTTTACTTTAATGGCTTTAATGCATGCCAAACAACTTAAAACATTTACCAATTCTTTTTTATATATTTTTCCTTTAATACTTTCTTAGATTTACGCGAATGTTTGACATTATTAAATAAAACTATCTTTTCGGATTTGCTACTAGTTTAGCCAATTTGTAAGTCGGTGAGTCGATTTGACTCACAATTGGACGTAGCGGAGCGTTAGTCTTGTGTATTTTCGATGTAGTAAGTTCATACTGTGTAGATCAAAATGACAGCTTATCAGATTAATATTTTTCATTTGTAAAAGTATATATTAATAGTGTTGCTTAGTAAGTTGTTTTTAAATAATAGCAAACTAAATTAAAATGATTATCCGTAATTTTCATTTTGTTAATTGTGGGTAGGCTGTCTGTAACAACTATATCTTTAAGACATGTAACAATATTTTTCCTTTAATTTAATTCATATTCATACTCTTGAAATTTTCTTTTTTTTTCTTTTTGATTTAATTTGAAATTGGACTAAATTGTATGGAATTTGAATACAGGAGTTTTAGTTTAATTATATATTAGATTATGCAATGTTAGGCATACTTACCATTACCTCTGCTACACAGATCGGGAGTATAACTCGAAATAGGTAAAAATAAATAAAATGTTGAGGTTTACAGTATAAGATATCCCTCAGTTTTACATTAGATCCCAACATATAAAATCATATTTTTGGTGCAGATTCAGAGCAAAAATTTAAATATCTTGGACCATTCCTGGATAAATAAAATATCCAATATAAAAGATTATTCAACAAAGCCTACAGTTGAATTTATCTTATGAGACTCATTCTCTAGTTATGTTTAGAATGAAGTTGACGAGTCCTAACATAGAATGGTGTATATACATTTTTTTGAACCCGTTACATAATATTGTTTTACGAAATTCTGCTTTATATCATAATATTATGATTTAGATTTTTGGGACTTTTTACATTTAGTTTATCTACTTTTCGAGTTCTCTCATGCTTTACTGTTTGACATCATTTAAGCTAATTCATTCTATACAAGAATGAACTAGATTATGTACTTAATAAAAATAACATGTGTACTTTATTGAGAACGTTTTTTATCATGCTCGTTCACTGAAAAACAAAAACTAAATTATACTTAGTTTTTGGTGGTATGGTAAAATTAAGGTACACCAAGTACATATATTAGCTCATTGAACAGTTATTTCGTAAATAATAATTTTATATGCAAAATGAGTGTGATTTCTCCAAACTAAGGGTTAATCTCATCTTGAATTCATTCAAAGAAAAGGTAGAAAGAGATATTTTTCCTTCACAGAACATCGGAGTGAATGATGTTGAAAAACTAAAAAAGTTTGAAGAAATAAAAGATCGTAACAATCCGGCCGAGATCGCCGATCTTGCAATAGAGGTTGAAATGCCTAACGTGCAATCGAAAAAAGCTACCAATAAACTGCCAAACTTTTACGGCCCTTGCAAGGCACTTTTTGCTGAAATGAAGGACGTCATACAAAAGTATGTAAACCCTGACAACAAAGCTATATTGTTGCCGCTGATTCGGTCAACGATCAAAAAGCGTTTGGTTGTCGTTCTTAAAGGCAAAAAGTTTTTGGTGGTACAGGATATTTTGCAAGTGTATAGAGCAACATATCCGACCACAACTGATGAACAGATGCTACAATCTCTAGTTGCTACGATCAGCCAAAGTTGCTGGCCCAAAAGTGGTAAAAATGATGAAGGTCAACAACGTGAGACTGAAACCATAGCAACAGGTAATATTTGTATTTGTATTCCCACGAGTCTGAGTATATGATTAGTTAGGGTTCAACAAGTATAGTTAGGTATATTCCACTCGCTCACAGTTAGGAAGGTATTGCTGGAATGACTTATATATCAATAATATTATGCACTTTAAATGCTATATACCTAATGCTTTCATAGAAAAACATGAAAACATGATCACCTTAATGATTACTTTAATGGTTTAAGATATCTATGTTAAAACCAATAATTTTAAAGTATATTTAAGCAATATTAGTAACTTTTGTCCGAGACAAAGGCACAACGACAATAAATAATAATTGATGATTTTATATAATTGAATCAATTAAATATTGATCAAATAAAATATCAATAAAAAAAGTACTAGATACACAGTCCCATACAAAAGTTCTCTTAAAACTGTCACCAATTGGTAATTAGGTAATTATTTTAGTTGAAATAAATATGCAACAATGTAAATTGTACCTTAAATGCAATGCTTAGTGTGTTTCTCAAAAATAAATTTGAATTAAAAGTATCATTCGGTGAGGACACTTTTTGTCGCTGATTGTATATCTGGTACTTTTTTGATCAATGCAATTAAATAAGTAAAAATAACTAACACAATTGTCTTCTCTAATCAAAAACACATATATTGTAAATCTCATATATTACATAAATATTTTACCAATCGTAATATATAGATTTTAAAACTTTTAGATGCTCAAGAAAAACAAGGAGATAAAGAAACAGAAAATTCAAATTTGAGCATAATTGATTTGACACGTGACGAACTGATGAACACAAGTCAAGAGAGTGGAGTGAATGAAAGTAAAATAATTGATCCCGTAGAAGTGGATGACATCGACCTGGACAACGACTTAGACGACTGGGAGGAAGATAATATGGTATGGTATATTCTCATTTATTTCTTGTTGGTATATTGCTATAATTCATCCCATTTTCACCCCCTTATGGGATGATTTCCTGGATAAAAACTATCCTATGTTATTTCCAGGGTCTCAAACTATCTTCTTACCAAATTTTAACTAAATCGATTCAGTAGGTTCGGAGTCTATTCGGTGCAAGCAAACAACAAATCTTTCCTCTTTATAAAATTATTATAGATAAGATTTCTATATCTTCAATTTTCATATCTAATCCTAGGTTGCTGAGACAATGAATGAAGAAAGTACTAAAAAAACTGTGGAAGAAAGCGCAGAAGTTCAGGTGGAAGAAAAAATATCTGAAAAAGAATCTGGAACAGAAGAAATGGAAATTAAAAAAATAGAAAACGAAGATGTCGTTATGGAAGAGAAGAATAATGAAGAGGATGACGTAAAAATGGTAGAGAAAGAAGTGGAAAAAGATGCTAAAATAAATGATAGTAAGGTAGTTGAAATAAATGATCAGTAGATAAATAAGGTGTAGGTCGAGGCAGGTATCTTTAGAGGAAAGCGATTCACACTATGACGCCTGGCGCTAAAGTTATATACTCTGACCTGTATAATTATTTACTATAAGAATCCTAATATACTACAGACTTTCTATTAGCCCTTACAATTTTTTGACCGAAAAACTCGTTAACTGTTTGTTGCCATGGTACCGTCGGGAACATGGCATTGTCTGACAATGATATATAATATTATATTCTTTCCTTCTTTTCTTTCCATTGCGGCCACTTTTACATAGGTGAGAGGTATTTTATCATGCACAGAAAAAAATTAGCTTTAATTTGATATATAAATGATGAATATACGCTATGAACGTATAAACGTACCAAAATATGACCCGTTTACACCAGGCTGCGAAGAGGTTGCGGCAAAATGCGCAACGGCAGCTATCATTTTTCAAGATCTCTACGTATAGTTCTGTGAAGTGGAGTATAATTCATTGTAATAACAAATGCATCGTTTATGTTCCAAAAAGTCAACTATTATTTATTTAATTAAACATACTAGCGGGCACATTTTAATAGGCATCCCGGTCAAAACGTATTTTCCCTTTTATTATTGTATATAAAAAATTGATTTCGATTAAATACGCTATAAACGTAGCAATCATGCAGCGGGATCTCGATCCATTAAAAAAAATACAATTAATTTATAGATATTATTGTTAAACACAATGTGTATATTATATTTTAATTATTATTTTAAGTATTTAATAATGTCAATAACTTTATACAGATAAATAAAATTGAAGTGTCTGTTTGTCAGATCGAAATATATATTTACAAAATGCATATGAAATTTTAAACTGTACTTAAAAAACAATTTTTAAAGGTTTGTCTGTTTGTTTCGGCTAATGTCCGAAACAGCTGGACTGATTCTAACGGGACTTTCACTGGCAACTAGCTGATGTTATAAGGAGCCTAACAGCTTTTAGAAAAAAAATAAAAAGCCAGATAAACTTCTAAGCGGTAGAAAGTCTACAGTGTATGGGGTCTGTAAGAGTCCATTATAAGATAAACTTAAATATTGTGAAAGCTATTTTTCTAAGCTATTAAATGTATTCTATTTATAAGCTACAAAATTTGAATGCTCATAAAGCATTACTCACTTTCTCTTATTCCAACTTAAATATAAAATTTTACTAAAAGGTTAAATGAAATGGGAAATAAAAATTAAAAAACAATTCTTGTCACTATCATTTATTTACCTCTTTATCTTAAAAACTTAAGACATTAAGAAACTAAAAAGCTTAGCTGTATATTTCTATTGAAGTAAATTAATGTATACACAAATTCGTAAAAAAAAATTATAAAGAAAAATTTAAAACTTAACTTATAAATCGGTTAACAGAGAATGTTTTTAGACATTACTTTTGGTTTTATTGAAGAAATAAAACAAATATGTTAGACAGCACTGTTGAAAATGACAAAAAATCAATATATATTTAACAAATGTTTTAAAAGTATTATGTATTTATTAAAAATAAAAAGCAGTCATGAGGACTGCCGACAGAAGTGAAAACTTAAAACTATAAACAAGCAGTTGTTATTTTTGGATATTCAAATTCATTGTTTGATCTTAAATTAAAACTTTACATTTATCTGGTTTTGACATATAACGGCACTTTGAGTGTTAGCGTTAAAACGTCACGTGACCGATGACGACTTACATGAATTTACTCCCCATCCAAACAAACCTGCCTATAGAAGTTTTCACTTCAATTAACATACATAACAAAAAGATATTTATTACCGCTATGTATTAACGTACATCTCATTGAAAAGATGATAAATTAACTCAAAAGTTTGCAAACGCATTACTTCAGCGCCTGAACTATTTTTAATAAAATTATCTTATAAACTTAACCACTTTACGACAATCTTTAAATTCTAAAATTACAGAAAAGCACATTTTAAACGTACAATGTTTTAGAAATCTTCCAAATCGTCATCGCCCACGTGTACTTCATCCACTACGCCTTCATCAAACTTCTCAACTTGGTCTGAATTCTTTTCATCATTATTTTCCACACTCGATGCTTTATTTTCCTGATCATCAACCGTAGCAATATTTTTATTGACATCGTCATCTTTATTTAGATTTGGTCCATCTGTAGGTTCATTATTTTTCACATCATCTGAAATTTTATTTGGGCTTTTATCATTATCTTCAATAACTACAACTTCGTTTTTGGTTTCTAGTAAAACCACATCTGAATCGTCAAGACGAGGTTTTGTATCATCAGATTTTTCTTGGACGTCATCAGAATGTATATCATTGTCATCAGGATATATATTGTCATCAAACTTCGTGTCGTCATCTACATCATCTTCATTATCATCAGGGTCACCATATTCATCTCCTTGATCATCGCCACCTTCTACATCTTCAATATCCATATTATTTTCGGGTTGTGAGTACGCTCTTCTTTGCATTTTATTAGCATTCTTGCTTATCTTTGGAGTTAAATTTAGTGGTTTAAAGTGTAGCATAATATTATCACCTGTAACGATATTTATTTGTTTAATGAACCAGTAGCTGTTACTGGCTTTGCCTAAGCTTGTAAATATTTTATTTAGAGAAAGACTACTTAATCTATACTAATATTTATAAGAGGTAAAATTTGTGAGTTTGTAGGGGTAATCTCTGGATCCACTGAACCGATTTAGAGGAAATTTGGTAAGAAGATAGTTTGAGACCCCGGGAAGGACATAGGATAGTTTTTATCCCGGAAATCATCCCTAAGGGGATGAAAATTTGTATTGGGAAGGAGCTAGGGAAGAACCCAACCGAAGCGAGGACGAATCGCTAGTTATAACTAAATGGAATAAATTATAATGTTTATATTATTTTGTTAGCAAGCATCTAATTATATAAGAAAAAAATATGTATATATGTATAAGAAATTGCGCATTCTTAGCTTGGCCTCTGCCTTCTGTCTAGCAGTTTATATGTTTTTATGTAATGTTATAAAATGCACTATATATGTATACTAAATGTCATCCAAATCGGTGCAGCCGTTTCAGCATGAGGGCATAATAAACTTACATAAATATTCTCACACACACAAACTTTCGAATTTATAATAATACTAATAACACTTACCAACGGTAGCCTTTGCTAAATGGAGAAGGTCATCATAAGTTTTGTAATTAGCGCATGTTGCTAGGTACAATCTCTTCTTGTCTGATTTCTTCAAGCTGGCCACATCATACTGTTTTAGGAACTCATCTAAGACATCACGTTTAGGCATTTTCGGATGAGAAAATATTCTTATGACGAGATTGTTTGATATATTTAACAAGCGCTTCGTCAAGTGCAATTCGACAATCTAAAAAAAAATATTGTGTTTTATTAATAAATAGCGACTCACCATCGTTTCGCTCGGGTTCGTCCCTAGGAAGGTTTAACGGCTAGTATGAAATACAAATCATTGAATTTCTCCGCTTTTCTGTACTATATAATATGCTTGTATTATAGATATAAACCTTCCTCTTGAATGACTCTATCCATGCCGAAAATTACATTAAAATCCGTCGAGTAGTTTAATAAAGTGGTTGATTTTATTTGAAAAGATCTAAGCGAACAGACAGCGGAAGCGACTTCATTTTATACTATGTAAAGTTAATATACAAATATTTTCGTAATAATAAACATGGTCACGGGAGAGACTAAGGTTTTTGATGTCTCGAGAAGTTATTATACATATCTAATTATTGTAGGAGTTGTCTGACCACAAAATAAGTCTACCACGCTGGTCAAGTGCGGACGGACTGAGCATGTCTTTCGAAAGCTTTCTAGGTTCTCTCATCTGAGAGAACCTAGAAAGCTCTATCTATGCAGGTTTCATCACGATGTTTTCCTTCACCGTAAGTTGCAATCATATTGAAATCGGTTAGGCTATTATTATAAGTTAGGCTATATAATATTTTTTGCATCAAATTATAACCATTAAACGTCTCCTAAATCCTGACCGAATTCGGCCACGGCGGCCAATTTCACTGAGACAGTGCATATACTGTAAGAATCCCTTCACTTAATATCAAAGGGAAAGGGCCCCATAATAGAAATTCTATTTGCTAAATTAATCTTTAAATAAAACCAATGAAACCATAAACTAAAAAATGTACTCTTCTACCTGCTTAAATTTCGGCAAAACTACGTCCTTGATTTTCAAGCGTAAGTAGTTCTCATCTTCCTTTTTCGAAGGTTCCATACATGCTGCTATAAACTGAAAATTTAAAATAACATCATAGTTTTCTTTTTACCACGTTATGAATACTTTATTTAGAACTAGCGACTCACCCTTGCTTCGCTCCGGTTCGTCCCTAGGTTGATTCCCCATACAAACTGTCATCCCCATTTTCACCCCCATAAGGGTTGATATCCGGGATAAAAAGTATTCTATGTCCTTCCCAGGGTCTCTAACTACCTTCTTACCAAGTTTCATCTAAATCGGTTTAGTAGATCCAGAGATTACCCCCTACAACGTCACAAACTCACAATTCACAAACTTTACCTCTTTATAATATTAGTATAGATGAAGAAAATTACAAATATACTTAATTATATATACAAAACTTGTAAAAAATGTACACTTAGTTATTACTGTACAAGTCATGTCCGCGTGGAATTGTGGCAAGAATGCTAGCCGCATTCTCCGCTAAATGGCAAAGCCGATTTGGGAGAAAAATGTGTTGTCTTTTATTAAGTGTTAACATCATAGTTATTTGTTATCACTACATATTATAAACTAGCGGCTCACCCTTGCTTCATTCGAGTTCGCCTCTAGAAAAACAAATATATCCCACGAGAACTGTATATTTTCTACGATAAAAAGTAGCTTATGTGCTTTTCCAGACTATAATCTATCTCTGCGCCAAATTTCATCCAGATCCGTTCAGCCGTTCTGGCGTGATTTAGTAACAAACATCCATCAAAACATCTAAACTTTCACAATTATAATATTAGTAAGATTAACAAATAAACAATATTCAAACAACGGAACAGATGTAACGTACCTCATCACAAAATAGCTTCATTTCCTCATCGAGTGCCTTTTTCAATACCGGCTCCAAAGTGTACACTTCTTTCGTGACTTCCAATTTTTCCAGCTTCTTTTGATCTAATTGGGAATTATAACAATATAACAATTCATATTTTATTTATAATAACTTCCATTATTATAATTATAATAATATACGTACAATTTTATTGAAATTTATAACACGACCTTTATTTTTCCTAATCCTATTACAAATGGAATAAAAAAGTATATGTAAATCAAACTCACCTTTGTATATTTGTTTGTCTGTAAAAAAGAAAAAAAAATGAGTTTTTTTTTGTATTTAGTATTGATAGGATTACAAATAATTATGTTTAATATGTTTCCCATGAGCTACAATCATAAAAATACATAATCATGTAAATAAATTCGTAATAGGGAATATGCGTGATTTTTTTTGATTTTTTTATACAATAGCTAACATCGTTATATATTTGTGAAAAAATATCCAGCTCCAAAGAACTAAAATTATATATATGTTTTAAATATCATACTGATACGGACACTTTAAACACTTGCCATATCACGCACTTGGCGTCATCAAACAGCGACAAAATCGCTAAATTGACAACACTGGCTCTGTTATTATATTATTATGTAGACTTCGAAATCACATTCGGTCTGACCAATGGCGTTGCGTTTTAACTACTTTGAATTTCCCACCTGTATTTTCTCTTATTAATAATTATTTTCTTAATCAAAAAGAAATTACTTTAAAAAATATTAATAAAGGCTTTAATTTTAAAGCAATAAAGATTATAAAAAAAATATCCGTATTAAATTATACGCTTATTTTTTTTATTAGCGACAATATCGAACAAGAAAATACAAATATTTTTTTCTGCTCTTAGAACTAGGTCAGAATACTTCAATATAAGGACTTACCTCCTTTAGGGTATTTCGGCAGTCTTTGCGAAAGATCCGACGGCTTACTTATATCCAACTGTGGGTTCTGTATATTTTCTAAAACAAAAGGAATATTTTATAGTAAAACGTACACTACAAACTGAGCTAAACGTGTCGTCAATAATAAATAACAATACAGTACTTACTGAAATTTGGCCGTGTAGCATTTTTGTTGGACTCTTGTTGTTTGAAATTTGCCTGTCCCTTCGCAGCCTTTGGTTTAGGACCCTTTTTTGGCCGCGAAAAGCCTTGTTGGTTTTGATTTGTTCCAAAACCATCTTTATTGTTAGTGGAACTTGATGACGCTTTTGGTTTCTTTCCCTGAATATTCCCTTCGTTATTTCCTGAAAAGACCAAGATTACGTTTTAAGAAATGCGAGACATGTGAAGTCCGCCAATTCGCACTTGGCCTATGGTGGACTATGGTTCGATGCCCCTCGTTTTAAAAGGAGGCCTGTGCCTAGCAGTGGGACGTTAAAAAAAGGGGCTGAACACATGTACTTTTAAATCGTCAATTTAATACATATAAAGAAAGTCAGTGTAGTCAGTTCACGAGGAAGCTACCTTCGGACCAACATCCGTCAAAATAACCTTCTGCACGGGATATATTAAAAATGCATAAGTGTGTAAAAAGTAGCAGCTCTGCAGAGTGAAAAGAATATTTAACTCTCAAAGTCCAGTGGGACGACCATTCGACGCGATCGGTGAGAAATTAGGCGCTGGCCGGACGTTTTTGTGCGTTCTCCGTGTCACGGGGATGTAACACCGCCAGCTTCCCAATTCTCTGCTGCTGAGAGTTTCTTAACAGTAAAACCCAAAGACTACTTCGACCGACGGGACATTCGAACCCAGGACTATAGGATCAGTAGCCCAACATGCCAGCCATTAGACCAATGATGCAGTTGAGGCTACCATAATGATTTATTTTACAACTATTAAAGTAAGAAATATTTAGATTTTTTCCTTCTTATGGTATGCAAAAGTGATCCATTTTAGCTTTTGCAAGTCAACTGTTTTGCCAAAAAGAATAAATAACATCTCTCTTGTTATTAACACATATACATGTGACAAAATATCTATTTAATTGCCTTCCGACAATTTTTCTTTCCAAGGATTTTGGAATTATGTATTTTTTTTGTTTTAGATTATTTGGAGCCACATATCATTTTTATCATTCTACCTGCGGACTATCGTCATATGGTGACAAAATATGTAGTATACCTTAATTATATACTACACAGTTTTACTGTGTATGTTTGTAGAAACTATAATGGCCTCGCTGTAGTTACTAATACATAATTAATGTAATGTGCTTTCACAAACATTTTATTAATATATTGTGTAACTTTTTTAACGAGACACTGTGAAGTGGTTTTCGGACATATTAAAACTTCAATTTCTTCTTCGATTCCAACGGTTTTTATTTACATACTAGCGGCTCACCCTCGCTTCGCTCGGGTTCGTCGCTAGGTACGTTTTAAATAGATATAAAAAGAAAAAATCTTTCTTTCTCACATTTTAATTATATGTTTTAATACTTACCTATTCCGGACTAAGAGAAATCCAAAAATTAAAATATCATAAAAATTGGAACGCGGTCGAACGGGATAAAAAGTATCCTATGTCCTTCTCCTGGCTCTAAACTACCTCCCTGCCAATTTTCAGCTAAATCGGTTCAGCCGTTCTTGAGTTATAAGCGAAGTAACTAACACGACTTTCTTTTATATATATAGATATTCAGCATGCAAGCGTGCCGAATATTAATCCACCAGTTGCTTTCAGATCAATTACTTAAAATCCGGGTGTAACTGGAGTAAAAAATAATGAAATTTAAGTCTTTGTACGTATACAGTCTTAGAAGTTAGTATGAAATGCTTGCACCTCATATTGTGCACTTCATGTTTTTAAGTTCAAAGCCGTAGATGCAACAATTTTTTTTCTAAGGACAACACTATTTAAAAAAACTGAAAATAGTATTTATATTTTCAAACAATATACTTTAGAGCGAAATATGGTAGCGTTGACGTCATCGCACCGCACTAGTCGCAGTGTCACTATTTATAATGATTTTTTTTATATATTTCGTACAATTTCAGAAATTAATCGCTTTAGTTTAGTAAGTCTCTTTGATAAAACATCAAAGTTTTCCATTATTTCGTGTATATTGTTTGCAATAAGCTGGTTGTATAGGCAGTGGTAGCCCAGTGGTAATGCGCTCGCTTGGAAAACCGAATGAAGCGGGTTCAATTTTCGAGTCTCGCACCTCTAATATTTTCATGTGCGAATTATTTCCAACATGATTACCACTAGTCTTACGGTGAAAAAAAAAACATCGTGAAGAAACCTGCATGTCTGAGCGAACCTAGCAAGTTTTCGAAAGACATGCTCAGTTAAAAATGGCTGAATACAAGCTGGTTGTAGGTATATGGATTTCTACTTGTATTTATGATAATGAATGACTATAATACTGCTGATATAATTAGAAAATTTAGACACATTGGACAAAGTCCATTTTAATTAATTAACTGCAAGATATCGGTATATTCACAAAACTAAGAACTTTTGCACAGATTTGTGAAATATATAGTACTTGTCAGAAAAAAGTTAAATATTTAACTTTCGCTACTAACAACAAAACATTTTATATGGTAGAAAAAATATAGGCATATTTTAACAGCTAGCAATTAAAAAAAAAGTAGTATTTATCAAGCACTTTGCTTTTAAGTTGTTGAAGTTTGTTTTTAAGAAGATTTTTTTTGACGTTTGTGTCATAGAGGCTAACCATCTGCGCAAGAGATATGTGTCTGCGCACACACATGTGCACTCTGTATCTCTTTTATTCTCAAAGTCCGATGGCCCGACAATTCGACACTCTCAGTAAGAGCTCAGGCGCAGAACGACGGCTATACGTGGAGGTACAACACCACCAACTTCCAAACCTGGGCTGTTATTGAGAACTCCTTGACAGAAAACCCCAATAACTGTACTTAGCCCGACCCAGGGCTCGAACCCAGGACCTCTGAATATGCAGTCGTATATGTTAGCCACTATCTGCTAATTTAATTTCCACTTAAAGCGGCAGAAAATATTTTGTGTCATGGTTTATCTGAATGGTTTAGTGGTGACACTACCAAAAACTGGTTAACATTTTGAACAATGCTAGGCAAGTTTTAATTTATATTATATTCATAAAAATATAACAGCATGTTTCAAAGAAGAACTTGCAAAATATCTAGCAAGTGTTCTTCGAAGAATATCAATTGTAATTATTTATTAGTTGAACTAAAGAAGTTACCTGTATATGGTTGGTCAGACAGTTTCAGATCACGTTTATGTTTCTGCATAACAGCTTGAAAGAAGCCAGGATCATCGTCCACGGTGAATTTAGAACGGTAAGCTATTATTACCTCGTCAAATGAAGACGTAATATGATCGTGAAGAATCACTTCGATACGAGATACTATACACCGTTTTAATTGCTTATTGAATTCACCATAATAAGGAATAAATCCTCCGCCTGCATTTTTAGTGATGGCTGTTGCTAACTGAGAACATGCCATTCCAATCCAAGTCTTGTGTCTATTAAGCTTCGCCTGTAGAGAATTCTTCGGATTTGGACCAGACTGTGTCTTCTGTGGGAAAGTTTCTACCGGAGGATTCATTTTCCCAGGTGAATTGGTTGAACCAAGTGATTTATTATCAACTTGTCGTGATATTTTGTTGGGAGGACCATGATAATTAGTATCAGACTCGTTACGTTTGAATTCTGATTGAAAGTTGCTTGATTTTGTCTGGGTAAATGTAGAATTGTTGGGATTGTTGCTGTATGTAGATGTATTTGCTTGAGAATGCTCAGCATACGATCTTTTTGATCCAAAATCTCGCTTTTGCTTGTGATCTTGGTTATTTTGACCAACATCGCGGTTTGGTCGACGATGGTCGAAATTTTGATTATCAAAACGCTCTCGATTTTGTTCGCCTCTATTAGGACCACGCCTATTATCAAATTTGCCATCACGACCGTCACGATTTTCATATCGATCACGTGGTGGCGAACGCTCTGCTCTCGAATTTCTATTACCTTTAGTATTGTCATCGTCACGTCGGTATTCAGACCTTTGTGATGATCTTTGCTCATTATTGTGCACATTCCATCTTGAGTTTTTGTCACGAGATCTGTCAAAACTTTCACGATCGCGTCGATCATGCCCCTCGTTAATTCCAGAGGGACTTCTATCACGCCAGTTAGTCTCCTGAGGTCTAGGAGAATACTGACGCGTGTCTACTTCTGGTGTTTGGTTTGATCCCGAGACCGGATATGTGATAGCTTGTTCCTTCCATTGATTTTCAAATGGAACACTTTGTTGATAAAACGGAGCAGGCTGTACCGGATTAACTAAAGGCGCTGATGTGTTGTAGGTAATATATTTATTCTGTGAACGGAAAGAGTTAGACAATGCGGTTTAAAGATAAAATAAACATGTATACAAAAATATATATAGTATAAATTCATTGCCAAGTTGGATTCTATAAGTATTATTGGTAGAACGATTTCATTTACGTTTAAAACGTATTTTTAGACAAACTTTGACGTAATAGTACCAGCTAAGCTTTCATTTCAACAAAAATTTTATGATAAAAAGTAGAATACTTACCATGTTTTTAACTTAATTTTATAAGTTCCCGATATTTGGGCACTGTTACAAGCACCATGGTCATGGGATGGATATACCATATTAAAGTAAGTGAAAAACGTGATAAATACCCCATATTACATCATAAAGCTAATCATCAAACATCGCGCTAAAATGTGGTATGATAGACAAAAAATTGTTTTCATTGTGACTGCACAAATATAATTTATAAAGTACATATTTGTAACTCAAACACTATCTATCAAACGCTTATAGTGGCCATAAAGGCTAGATGAAAGCTGCACATTTTAACTATACAAGTAAACTGCACAGGTGAAGCAGAATGTATGGCAGTCATATATATAGTTCACAGGTCAACTGTTCGTTGGGTCTTACTTATGCAGTTTAAATGTACAGGCAAAACTACACAGGCAACACCAAGCATGTATGTCCCTTTAGAACCTAAGTAGCAGCAGTGAAAAAGCTCTTTCCACTTCTATTTTATTATTAGATCCGTTAAAAGCAGTAGACTAAATTAGGAATTATTCTTAGAAAAAACAAAATAAAATAAATAATATTCCATATTCAATTATAATTAAATTTATAAAAATGTTTAAAGTTAAAAAATATTGTAATGTAATTGGTGCAATTTTCATTTTATTAATTGTGGGTAGGCTGTCTGTAACAACGATACCTTCAAGACATGTAACACCTCAGTCTCTCCCGTGACCATGGATGCTGTAAAGCATTCGAAACGTCGGGAACCAAAAATTAAAATAAATCCGCGAAATAATCCGAAAAGACAGTTTTATTTAATAATGTCAAACATTCGCGTAAATCTAAGAAAGTATTAAGAAAAAACAACAATAGAATAATCATGGGGTCGCTCGAATGACATTCGAATTAAAAAATTAATGCAAAATAATCGAGACATCTATCTGTATTTAGAAGTCCTGAAAACCAAATCTTCCTTTCGTAACTTTCAGATTAGCCCCGCCCAACTTAAAAATATTAGATATATAAAGAAAAAATAATATAAAGTTTACTATGTAGTGGGTTATTATTTATATTATTTTTGTATTGATTATGTGTTTGAAAGTTGTTTTTTTTTTTTTAATTATTTTTATAAGGCATGTAATTATTAGATATAAATTGAATCTTGGTTTAACTCAATACAAATATTTGGCTCAATGTTCATTCCGTGTATCAAATCGAATATTCCGCTAAATTATCCTAATTTATTAAGTAATGCTGATTTATTAAAAACTTGTTAAGTAATGGTTATTTGATTTCATAGGTCATTTTTTTGCCATGTTACAATGAATCTCGGTATGTCACAGGTACATAATGGGCAAGAGAAGTGTGTTTAGGTATGATTTGACAGTAGTAAATAAAAAATGTTAATAATATATTTATAATGTGTTGGTTTCTATATCATGTGTAGATAATAAAAGATTTTTGTCTCTTTAATTTAATTTCTTGTTACTTCAAAACAAACCAGTTGAACGTTCAGGGCATCCTTAATATATGAATATACATTAAAATAAAATAATGATTAACATAATTTTGAACTTCTCAATTAGTAATAGAATTTTAGTAATTGTTTCGTAAGTTATGTAGTATTTAAAATTGTATATATAACAGATTGAAAGAAAATTGAGATATACTTTAGAATCTACAAATATTATTCACAAAAATATTATTTACCTGGACTGGTGACATATAAAATGGCATACTACTATATGCTGTTGGCATTAATTGTGATGCCTGCAAAGTAGGCATATTCATAGGTATTTCAAATTGTGGGTTTTGCATTTCAGGTACTGTAATTTGTGGTATATTCATTGGACAGTAGGGTTGTTCGGTCTGCTGAAATTTAACATTATTTTAGTAATACACGGACTCTTCAATAAAAATTCCAACTGATACATGGTAAGAGTAATAATGGTTTAATATACTTGATTCAAATATACTTCTTGTTTAAATTATAAATAACAAGTTAATTGTTTAAATTATAATTCTTTTAATTTTTATTAAATTCTTAATTTTAACTAGCACATCACTCCTCAACGTAAATCTCGCATATTTATACCTAGCACAGTTGCCCACTACAGTTATTAGTATGCTTACTGGCGAATTTTTTTTTTTTATTTTACACCCTACGTACCTTCTTTTGGCGGATATCCTCCACAAAGATATGATATCCATTCATAAACATGCCATTTATTTTTCTAACCAAAAGTGCGGCATCGCCCTCATCGGCTAAGCCTACTGTTACCCGCTTGCCCTGGCCTTCGTTTAAAAAATTGTCCAAAATTACTTCCGATATATTGCAATTATCCTTAATTAATTGCTTTATACCCGCTAAAGTTATCTGAAATAAATTAAAATGAGGTAAAAATTATATGTTATTAATACCACAAAAACATTAAAGACGTCATTTCTTACGTTGGGTGGCAAATTATGGATAGTCAATAGCATCTTTAATACTTCAGTTTTCCATTAACTTATTAGCAAAAATAATCATGGAATTGGATGACAATTGACAACATATATATCTATACTCTTTGATTGACAAATAAAGAAAATAATGCTCAATGCTGGTAATTATTAATTGTTAAGCGAACCAATCACATCAAACGAATAACGATTAACCACAGTCCACAGACTATTTAGTGAGTGTTAGACTTAGGGATGGGCGTTCAATGAACGGACTAGTTCAATCAACCGGTCGACGGTGCGTCGACGGTTCGACCGTTCACGTTTTTCGAATGGACTAGTTCATATCATAGACTAAGACAGACGTAAACAAGGAGTTCGTTTATCATCCGTTTAAAACGGAATGTAAACTAATTTCAACTCTAATGTTTAATAACAGTGGTTTGATATTTGAATGCGAGCTTTAGAGTGAGATAGGCCTATTATAGTATTGTTATTGTCGTGGTCATTATAGAAACAAAATGCCATAATTATAGTTGCAATTTTTTGCAAGTGATAATATTTTGATGAATGCGTAAATTTTAAGATTATTAATTTATTCAGTATAAAATGTCATCATTAAGAATTAACCAAGTCTAATCTAACCACGGCGGTCGTGACGAATCGTTCCGTCTCTCAACATAAACTAGTAAAGATAGAATAGACTGTCTACAGTCTAGCGTCTACGACTACATTGAAGTCGGAAGCGGAATGTGAACAATAGTCCACGATTTGAACTAGTTGATCGACTAGTCGATGAAATAAAATGAACGGTCTAGTTTCGTTCACGCTAAAACGTCGACGACCCATCGCTAATGAGTGTAGGAAGTAGGAACACCGAACATATCTTACATCAACAACAAGACGTGCACGCTGCACCATCAGTGCTCTGTGCTGCCAACACTTGAAATTTTATCCCCCTAAAACACCCTAAGTGACAATTTGAGAAATATAGACTAGAGGACTCTTGAATCGACCTCCCATTAAATTTATATATTTGTGGTGAAGAGGGGTGGGGAGGAAGGTGTAGATCACCCCCCGCAATCATCAAATAAAAATAATCAAAAATCTCATTTTGAGGTTATCTATGTCGAGTGTTTACTTCGATTTTGCATGAAATTTAGAGTTTATGACATTGTTTTAACTGTTCTAACCTAACCTAACCAAGATCTAGACGACAATTACCTAAGTTGTAACCTAACCACAAACTTCTTACCTAACTTGTCAAAATGAATGACCTAATGTAAAGGGAAAATTTTATTGCTATCACATACTTGTGATAATGATAAATCATTTATTTATATTAAATAAGCATTTTAGATGCCTTAGATAAGTAACTAAAATAAACTAAAATAACTTTAGATTGACACAAAATCAGAACTTTCGTTGTTATTGACCCAAAAAAATCTGAAATAACTGTGAAATTGTTTAAACCAAATAAAATATTGATAATTTTCAAATAAAAATTAAAATACGCGTCAACTTACTACTTGCAAAATTAAAACGCGTAATTAAAACTCTCTATAATGGCAACACTTCTGTCGTGCAAAATCAAAACACATTATTAAAACTCCCCAAAATAGCAACACTTCTGCCAAATTACGTCAAAAACAATAAAATAGTACAGGATTGAGGTTATATTTATCAAACTATGATATTTTTTATCTCCGAAAGTATCTGTTTCCGCTACTTGAAACTTTGTGGGATTACTCAAGATAATAAGTACTTTGCACGAAAAAAATCAAGAGTCTATTATGGGATGTCGTATTAAAAGCTGAGCCTATTTTTTTTATTTTAAATGATTACAAGTAGCGTAAAAAACTTATTTATGGTTATTATCATAATAATTACATATAACCATTCAAAAATAATAACAAATTCCATAGATAACTTAGCAAATAATAAAAAAGGTATATAATTTTTCCAAGCCTTTAACCGAAACTTTATAAACTCCTTAAAAAAGACTAAATATTTTTGCCCCCAAAAAAATCCCCGGTGGCATTTTTATACCCTAAATTTGAAGGGGGGGAAAGCCCCTAAATTGGCTACACTGGTTACCAGCACAAACACAAAAATGTTACCAGTTATGACATTATGCGGTTCACCACTAGATGTCATATTTATTATAAAACTAGCATTGCCCGCGGCTCCGCCCGCGTTCAGATGACCAAAAACCAAATTCTTAGGTTTTACATATTAGTATACTCTTACAATGCAGTTTTTGTTTTTTTTTTCTTCTCAGAAATGAGATATTTTCCCGCCGTAAAAAGTATCCTATATGTTGACCCGGATAACCTAATCCTATATGTTGACGGTTTTCGCGTGATGCGGTAACAAACAGACAGACAGACAAAAATTCTAAGAACTATAGATTCGGCCTCTGTATCGATAATAATGTCTATTTCAATTAGATTTTCCAAAAAATATTTAATGTACAGATTCGACTTAGTTACAATTTTATTATATGTATAGATAATTCAAAAATTAAAATAATCAACTCAATGTCAAAGTTAAGGATGTGCTTCGTTGTTTATCATAAATTTAATAATCACAGAAAACGTACTTGTGAAGTTAATTATTTAAAAAAATATGTACTTTCGCCAGTTCTTCTCAGGTCTGAGGCTTCTCTCTTTCTCTCTTTCGAACTGGTAGTAGACTCATGATGTTCAGTAAAGAATTGTAATAATTTAATGCTGAGTAAAATATTTTGAAATTTTTTTGAAAACTTTTATTTACAAATAAAAAGAATCGTTGAAGTTATTTATATTTAATCATGCTATTAAAGAAAAAAAAACCAAAACACCCTAGGGGGTGTTTTGGGTTGCAATTCTCTGTATGTTTATTATTCATCCATGCTTTGTATTTATACAGAACTATTTTTATAACCTGTACCTATAGTGTTAGTTACCGACTACATTATTTTAAAAGATTTTGATAAGTTCTAGTAGCTGATCCAGGAGTTGTCCAGATCCCCCCCAACGTGCGTTCACCTTGTCGTGGTGGGGGGCTCAGTAGTGCCCGGCAATCCAACCGGGCGCGAAGCTAAGAAACGCACAGGGAGGTTGCCCACTTCGGTGGGCGGTGGGAGGTGGCCCTCTTCGGGGGGCGGTGTACCATGCGGGTTGCTCCTGGTACTTCTCTGATAGCAGAGTGGACTGTGGAGCAACCCCATGGTTGTGGTGGTCTGCTTCGGCAGACCTGCCGTCGGGGCGTCGTAGTTGAATGCGTAAGCGATCCTGCGACGCCCCATTAAGACGGGGGAAGGTTTTATTAGGTTTTAGTGGATAGTACTGGCTGTTTTACGCCGGTGAGTCCCACACGTCGTGCGTAAATGCATTTCCCAACGTTAAAAAAAAAAAGGAGTTGTCCAGATCCCCCCCAATGTGCGTTCACCTTGTCGTGGTGGGGGGGCTCAGTAGTTCCCGGCAATCCAACCGGGCGCGAAGCTAAGAAAAGCACAGGGAGGTTGCCCACTTCGGTGGGCGGTGGGAGGTGGCCCTCTTCGGGGGGCGGTGTACCATGCGGGTTGCTCCTGGTACTTCTCTGATAGCAGAGTGGACCTTGGAGCAACCCCATGGTTGTGGTGGTCTGCTTCGGCAGACCTGCCGTCGGGGCGTCGTAGTTGAATGCGTAAGCGATCCTGCGACGCCCCATTAAGACGGGGGAAGGTTTTGTTGGGTTTTAGTGGGTAGTACTGGCTGTATTACGCCGGTAAGTCCCACACGTCGTGCGTAAATGCATTTCCCAACGTTAAAAAAAAAAAAAAAAGAATTGTCCAGATGAGTTTTCGCAAGTATAATAAATTTTGAGCAAAGTTGGTTAAATGTTCAAGAGAGCCACACTGAGTAGCGATTTTAGCGCAAGAGTCAGCGGACTCATTGCCAATAATACCAGGATGAGCTGGGATCCATACTAACTGGATATTCAACCCATTTTAGAGGTATGAGAGCAAAGCTTCACGGATTTTTAAAATAATGGAATACCTTGATTTGCTACGAAATGGGTTTTATTTATAGCCAATAAACAACTTAAGGAGTCAGACAAAATAAGTCTGTTTTATGTTATGGGAGTGGGCGAACATTGCATTTGCCACTTACAAACTAGCATTGCCCGCGGCTCCGCTCGCGTTCAGATGACTAAAAACCAAATTCTTAGGTTTTACATATTAGTATACTCTTACATTGTAGTTTTTGTATTTTTTCTCAGAATTTATGAGACATTTTCCCGCGGTTAAAAGTATCCTATATAGTATATGTTGACCCGGATAACCAGCTATCACCATACCAAATTTCATCAAAATCCTTTCAGTGGTTTTTCTGTGATGCGACAGACAGACAAAAATTCTAAAAACTATAGATTCGGCCTCTGTATCGATATGTATATGTATATTTTTAGAAGATTTTCAAAAAAATATTTAATGTACAAATTCGGCTTAGTTAGAATTTTATTATATGTATAGATGTTAGGCACCCGAGTAATGCGAGGGCGAATTATAAAAATAAATCGTTTGCCTGTATCCTAACAATATCATTGAGAAAACCAATGTTAATAAGAAAAACTGTCTAAAATATTAATTAAGAAATATTATTATTTAAAATTAAATTTAAATAATATAATATATTATTTACATTTAATTACATACATACATAAATTGTAATATTATCAATATTCATACATTTTGCTTACGACATTTATAATTTACGTGGGCAATTCCAAAAAAAAGTAACAACTAGGCACGAGTACATACGGCGACATAATATTAAGGTATTCGGTCATATTCTATTTAAATTTTTCTGAATACATATTTTGTCGATATTATGTTAAAATATAAGGTAATAATAATAATACTTTCTTAGATTTACGCGAATATTTGACATTTTAAATAAAACTATGTTTTCGGATTATTTCGCGGATTTATTTGGAACATGAATTGGGGACCAAAAATCAAAATAAATCCGTGAAATAATCCGAAAAGAAAGTTTTATTTATAAGGTAATATTATTTTTACTAGCAAAACATTCATCACATTAAGGGATGTAATCATAAAATATGTGCGAGTATTTTACCGGCCATTATTCTACGTGACGAAGTGAAATAGGCTTAAAAGTCATATGTTAATTAAAAAAGTCAAAAAATATATATGTTTTTCCTATATTCTCTTTCACGCTCGTCCCTATTTACAGATAGTCCGAAATGATATTAACATAAAAATGTAATATTATTCTTTAATTTACAACTTAGAACTGATATATTGTGTCTCACTGTACTTTTATATATTTAAATGATACGTTACAATAAACAATGTCATTAGGGAATCACAAATGAACAAGTGATAATGTGCTGTGAGATAAGTTAAAGAGGAATTTTGTAATTGTTACCGTTAAACATTCAGTTATAAAGTACTGTAGATTTAACTTTGTTAAGCATGGTATGTATGTACCTATATCTTTTTACATTTTTTAGCCGACTAGCGGGTCACTCTCGCTTCGCTCGGGTTCGCCTCTAGAGAAACAGAAACAAATTTATTCCACGGGAACCGTACATTTTCTGCGATAAAAAGTAGGTATCTATACTATGTGCTATTCTAGACTATAATCTGTCTCTGTGCCAACTTTCACCTAGAGCCGTTCAGCCGTTCTGGCGTGATTGAGTAACAAACATCCAAAAATCTATCTAAACTTTCACATTTATAATATTAGTAAGACTAGCGAATAACCCAAGCTTTGCTCAGGTGCATTCCTAAGTTAAGTTAGAACGGCTTAGGAACGCATAAAAGCTAAACGTCCAAAGAAGAAAATCTTTTTTTTTACGTTAGATACTTTTGCAGGCACCATCAGAATAACTTACCAGAGTTTCATCACAATGGGATCAATGGTTTAGGAATACATAAGGGACAAACATACGGACATTGATTTTTACCCGACTGCAAGGAAAGAAGTTTAGGATATATAATGATTTAAAGTTGGTTAACAACCATTCTCGCCAATTTTTCTACTTAAAAGGACTTAAAAAGCTTTAAATAAATAAATATATTATATAAATAAAAAAACCCGACTGCATAAAAGCTAACTAAAAAGATGAAAACATAGGTATAAAATTGGTTATTGACATAGGAGTGTGTACATTGTACAGTCATCTCGCGGCAAGGATGAAACGTGTTTGTCTCCGACTGCATAATACTATAATAATTCCTTCGTGAACTTGCTTTCATCTTTTTAGTTAGTTTTTATGCAGTCGGGTTTTTTTTTTATTTTATAACATATTTATTATTTTTATAGAATTTAAAAAAATATAGCAACGGATTTACAAAAGTTCATTTCCGTAATTACTTATTGGCTAATATCGGATATTATATCTAAACTTAATTTAAATTAATCTGTTAGAAAAACAATAAAACTTCTTATTTCTAAAATTGCACTTACATATTGTATTAGAAAAAGTAAAAATATTAAAGGATGCGTCTTCAAATTATAAAATATTCGAAAAAAAGAAAAATAATATCGCAATATCAATTGCATAACTTCGTGCATAGTATTAGTATTACTTGCAATACGTCATAAAAATACAGATACATATTATAGTAGTGTTCCGATAGAAGTAGGGACGGTCATTGTTATAGTTATGGACGACTCTCCGCCCTTTTCGTGACCCTTAGGTGTAGCAGAATAGGTTCATCCTTGTAAAGACGGCACCACGGTAATGTAATGCATAATATTACCGTGACGGCACAGTTCGTGTTGTAACTGTCAAAACTTCTTAAGGTTGCTACGTACGACCTACAGTTCGTTTGTGCCATTTGCCGACAATAATATATGTATACCTAATACTAGCAGAACCCGCGGCCACGCCCCCGTTCAATCTACAAAAAAACTCTTTGGTTTTATGTTACACAGCGACTCACCGCCACCCTCGCTTAGCTTGGGTTCGTCCCTAAGTATCTATATAATATTATGTTCATTTTAGGTGATATTGTTCATACAAAAATACTAAAATCGCGATTAAAAAATGGGAGGTGGGTAAGGAGGGTCACCTACCAAATATGTATGCAAAAAACAAAATCATTAAAGTAGGTCGAACAGTTAGATGAGACGGCGATGAGAATCGCCGTCTCATCTAACTGCTGCTACTATCTTCATCGGCGTTGAAGCTGAAGACTTTATATATGTAGCAATATACTCTATGCTGAGGACCTGACGCAAAGCTGTAGCAAGGTAGCGTGTAACGTGCTTTCCATTCCCGCTACCCACACCCGCAAACCACACCCTTTAATCTTATATACAGTCCACTTAAATTTTACTACTCATTGAACCAGCCTTATCGGTAGTAAACATATTTTGTTTATATTGAACCTTATACGGATTAAGTAATTTTAAATAAATATATTTTAATTTCAGATGCTGAACGCCGTGTTAATTACCTTATCCCTAGTCACATACACTCAAACCAGTCCTCGTATGACATTCGTAGACAACTTCTTACAATGGGAAGCAGAAACAGCTCAATTCTGCTCCAATTTAATACATTTCAACAATTATTTCTATTCATTACACGAGCCCATACAAGTTTCTGGCATGCCAGCAGATATGCGTATTCAATTCAGTTTTCCATGCAATATATTCTACACGCTTATAAACGACGAAATGAAAATGAGCTTACAAGTAAGACATTTTAGCGGTGAAATTGAAACTCTAAAAGTGCCTGGCTTAGGTCAATCAACAACGGTTGATAACCTTAACAATATAGTATATCTCGCCACTGATAACGGCGTATATAAATACAAAGAGGATGGCTCAATAGAATTGTACACAGCTTTAGGAGAAGATGTTATGTACTTAACAGTTTCGACAGATGGCACCACCATGTATATAGCTACATGGCCACAAAATCGCGTCCAAAAAGTAACTAATGACGGTCAAAAACTAGAGACTTTTCCATCCATTCCAAACGGACACGGTATCACTGTAGATACGAGGAATAATATATTTTTCGTTGCAGAAAAAACATCTTATGTACTAAAGAATGATCAAAATGTTGCTATAAAAATAAAAGGGTTGCCCAGTGAAAGGATAATCAATTTTTTTGTTAGTCGTGCAGATGGGATATATGCGATGGATGAAAATAGTAATCTATATAGCATTGATGCTGAAAACGCTAGTGCAAGACATTTAGGAACTTTCAATGTGACTGGAGTAAATACATTTGGTATGGATTCTGCTGCAAATGTTCTTATTGGGGTGAAGGGCCGTATTATTAGATTCAATGCGTATGAACATAATCCGTGCGGCTATCAGGACGAGTAACTGTTTCTGCTATTAGTACCTATTTTAATTCAAATTTATTTTATGTTAAATAAATATATTTGTGTAGTCTAGTTTGTGTCCATTTAACTTTTATGTCACGTGAATGTTATTGACATTTTTAAAAGGAATACACTATCTTGAATTTTATTACGACTTTCTTTGGCATTATTACTTGAAGGGCACAGGCAAAGAACAAGAAATGTTCTAATGAATGAACTATGAGAACAAAGCAATTTAAAGTTTAGTAGTATAATATTTTTATTGAGATCAAAGTATGCAGTAACTTTATAATAATATAGTACCATGTACATTTTTGAAAAATCCTCTTTCTTTACCGGTAGGTATGTCATAGACATTTCCTGTACTTTGCCTTCACTTGTTTATACGATAAAATATTAGTAGGTATTTCGAATTTTGATTTATTAAGTTATTCCTTGCTACATGTATTGAAAATACAAAGCTCAAATACTGTTTTGTTCTCTTTCAAAACTTGTACTAGAACCCGGAATAATTATTTTCTTTAAATACAATACTTATTGTAACAACAAATATCTCTTAAACAGCATAATAACCTATTCCATTGATTTTCTTAAACAATCAATTGATAACTTTAAAGTTTGTATTGGGAAGGAAGTTAGGGACGAACCCGAGCGAAGCGAGGGTGAGTCGCTAGTGATTATTAATTAATAATGTTGTTATTATGTGTTATTTAGAAAAGCACCAAAAGATGGTACCACGTGTTTATAAAATACATGCCTTATATTCATTTATTTTCAAATTTTAAATTATTATTTTTTGTACCACTAATATATGTATATCACTTCATTTGTAGGACAATAGTAATCTCGTGTTTCTCATTTTATTTCTTAAAGAAACAAAATAAAATTTGCTTGTTATTAAGTAGGTATTACTGTGACAGAGACAATATCCGAGCGTAGGACTAAAAAATCCGACAATTTCATTTATATGACGATGTGACCATTCAATTATGCGTGCAAAACAAATGCACAATAACATATTTGTTTATAAGTTATTGCTGTCTAGCGGCACTTATAAAAATTAATTGCTTATTTGAAACATTTCGTTTTCTTTATCGCCATCTGTTACATATTAATGGAACTTTCAAGTAACGTAGCTTCGCACTCATTAATTAATATAAATTAATACCTTTATAATGTAAAAATATATTTCTGCAATATTTTCGATATGTTAATATACGTCACATATTTATTATGAAACTGAATTTGGTTAATATAAATAGATGGCAGACAGTTCACTTAAATTATGTGGGTTTACTTTTTGCGCAAGAAATATATAAAATTATAAACTTTAAATTTTAATTACATAATTATTAAATTATTAACTATTACTTTCCTCTAATATAAAATAATGTAAGTTGGATTCCCTGTATGTTTATTATTCATCCATGCTCTGTTTTTAAACAGAACTATTTTTAACCTGTGCCTATAGTGTTACCGACTACGTACATTATATTTTCTATGCCAACACCAAAATTAATGTCTAATCCCAAGCTAAGCTAGTTGTCATTCCATGATTCCATAAAATTGTCAAACAAACTTGTCATACGCGTCCGAGATGTGTCAGTGAGCGATCGTTTGCCGCTTGTGTACTATATTTGTATCGTAAATGTGGTGCGTTTATGTGATAATGAGAAAACACTCATTAGGTTACTTAATTATAAAGTGATGACAGTGTTTTAAGTCCAGTGTTTTGTTATAAAAGTTAGTTTCTTTTGTATGTCATCGGACTCTTCAATATGGCGGCTCCCCGTCACAAATCACAACAGAAAAATATATCTTCGATATTTTCGAAGTTGCATGGTGCTTTTTCGGATGCCGTGTGCCAAACAAAGCTTGCTACGGACAAACGGACTCTAGATAAGACTTGGAAATTAATGGACAAAGTTGTAAAATTATGTCAGCATCATAAAATGAACCTGAAGAACAGTCCGCCGTTTATTCTAGATATTTTGCCAGATACATATCAGAGGTTGCGTATTATTTACTCCAAGTATGAGGATAATATGCAAGAGTTAAATAATAATGAACATTTTAACATATTTATAATAAATTTGATAAGAAAGTGTAAACAGGCTATAAAGTTGTTCAAGGATGGTAAAGAGAAGATGTTTGATGAAAACTCGCATTACAGACGCAATTTGACGAAGCTTAGCCTCGTTTTTAGTCATATGCTAAGTGAGTTGAAGGCAATGTTCCCTAATGGAACTTTTGCAGGTGATCAATTTCGTATAACCAAGAGTGACGCCGCGGAATTTTGGAGAACCAACTTTGGTAACAGGTAAGATTATAAACATTTTTTTTGAGAACACCATACTCTCTTAGTAAATATTTTGCAATCAAATAACCTCATTTCTTTAAAAACATTACAAACCAAAATAGAACATCAAAAAAAGTTTGTCAGTATTGCAAATTTATATTTTAGAAAGAAAGAATTTATTATATTTTTCATAGAATAACTAGTAGAAAAAAAACTATGTTCGTATTAGTTTTAAGTATTCCATTTATAGTCATCTGAAATTTATGAAAAGACAACACATTTATTATAATACAAAGTAATTATGATGTCAAAAAACGTAAATTTTAGAATTGTAGATATATACTCATTTATTCATTAATAAGCACACTAACAATACACATGCTAAGACAATTCAGTGCAATTAAAGTCAACAAAAAAATAAACAGTCATGCATATCAATTACAAAGGCTTAGAGTGTTATTAATAATAATATTAATTACATAATATAACAGTAAGAATATATTATAGTAGATGATAAAAAATAAGAAACTAACAAGATTTAAAAAGAATAATTTTGAATAAAATAAAATAAAAATAATTCAATTTTAGTTAATTAACAATTGTATAACATTATTATAGACTTAAATCACAGTTTTGGAAAACTATATAGAAAGTGTAATAGTGTTATTTTTCCTCATAATCTTCTCCATCCCTCAAAATTCCGTTAGTTTATTGTATAATACTTTCTTAGATTTACGCGAATATTTGACATTTTAAATAAAACTATCTTTTCGGATTTTGTCGCGGATTTATTTGGATTTTTGTTTCCCGACGTTTCGAATGCTTTACAGCATCCATGGTCACGGGAGAGACTGAGGTGTTACATGTCTTGAATGTATAGTTGTTACAGACAGCCTACCCACAATTAACAAAATGAAAATTGCACCAATTACATTACAATATTTTTTAACTTTAAACATTTTTATAATTTTAATTATAATTGAATATGGAAAATTATTTATTTAATTTTGCTATTATTTTTATAATTATTACAATTTTAAAATATTAATTAGTAATCTATATTTAGTGTTGCCATTATTATATTTATAACCATAAAGAAAAATATAAAATGTAGTATTAATTATTAAAGCCATATAATTGTTCTATGTGTAATTTAAAAAGTTAAAATTAATTAAGGATAATAATTTTAATTTAGTTTGCTATTATTTAAAAACAACTTACTAAGCAACACTATTAATATATACTTTTACAAATGAAAAATGAAAAATATTAGTCTGATAAGCTGTCATTTTGATCCACACAGTATGAACTTACTACATCTGCCTGTCTGTTATGTTTATATTTATTATTTGATTTTATTATATTAATAACAGGATCCCATGACAATGGTAGTACCCAGCCATCTTCCCTATTGAAATTAGGATGTTTTTTAATTTCTATGGCTTCTCGAATCATTCTAGGGCGATATCGGTTTTCTTTCGCCAGGATTTGAGGTCTATCGAAGCGAATATAATGGCTTGGGCGGTCCTGACTATGTTTGCAGACAGCAGATGTTGTATTGCGACGGTGCTTCACATCAGCTATGTGTTCTTTGACCCGGGTTCTAATGGATCTCTTTGTTTGTCCGATGTAAGAGAGCCCACAATCACAATCAAGCTTGTAAACTCCTGCATCTTGTAGAGGGATGTGGCACTTGACAGGTGGTAGAAACTGACTAATTTTCTTTGGCGGCTTGAAGTAAGTTTTAATTGAAGCTCGCTTTAGAATGTAGCCAATCTTGTCAGTGACGCCTCTCATGTAAGGTAGGACTGCAGGGACGCGCTCGACTGTGGCTGGTTTCACTCGGTCCCTGTGACGTAGGCGCGGCACTTGCAGCTTGTTGTCTCGCAGAACTTGCTTGACATGTTGCAGCTCTCCGGCCAGGTGTTGCTCGTCACAGATCCCGCGTGCCCTCTGAAACAAAGATTTTACCAGGACACAAAATAGTGTCTTATTCTGACTTATGAGCTATATTATTGAAAAGTTTCATTAAAATTCATTCAGTAATTTTTGTATAAAAGAGTAACAAACATCCATACATCCAGATATCCACATAAACTTTTGCATTTATAATATTAGTAGGATAATGGCATTATTATTATCAATAAAATATCAATGATTTTGTAAAAAGTGTAAAATACTTCCCTATAAATTTTCTCACAATTATTTATTTTATTGCTTCCTTTATGAGTAAACAATATCTGCTATACATACAATGTATTGAATTTTCACACAGTATAATGTTCTCACATAACTTTACTTCCTATTTAAAAAGTTGAAATATGTCTGTAATAGAAATGTGTGAACAAATATAAGTGCTTATTATTCACTAGCAGCTCACCCTCGCTTCATTCGGGTTCATCTCTAGAAAAACAAAAACAAATTATCCCTCGGGAACCATATATTTTCTGGGATAAAAAGTAGCCTTTGTGTTATTCCAGATATATATCTATCTCTGTGCCTTTCATCCAGATCCTTTCTGGCGTGAAAGAGTAACAAACATTCATACTCACAAACTTTTACATATATGATATTAAATATGGAATAATACTTTGTATTGTATTTTAGTTTGACTTATACATAAATATTTTTTTTTTGTCTCTAGTACAATTAATGCCAATCATATTTTAAACCATGCTAAAAAATATAGATACACACTTGAAAAATGTTTATAAATCTTATACAGGTGGATAAAAATACAAAAATGGCTATATTAAGTATATTTCTTTTATTTAATATGCGGAAATTGTCCAGTTTTTTCTATATGACATAAAAGTTTTACACTGGGTTCTATTTAATGTTTCAGTTCATATCATGCTAAAACATAATACAAGCAAAAATATACATTTTACAATAATAGCACTATTATAAAATATTGTACAGGTATAATAATAACACTTTACAAGTAAACACTCACCTATTCATATGAAATGAGCTGAAATTGAGAAATGCATGAAATTAGAAGTGTAAAAATGGTTTTTAGGAAAATGTCAAAAATAATTTTACCTTTAACCTTTTACTTCTAGATAGTACTTAGTGTTATTGTAGGGACAAATTGTCACATTTTCAAGTTATTTGAAGGTAAAGGTCACATGACAATCATTATTACTCACTACGAGTATATATGTTAATAGCCTATAGTTATATTTTTACCTTAAAATACTTCTGAAATGTGTCTCTTTGACACATATTGTTAATATTATTTGTTTGTGTGTATCTATTCAGCCCTTTTCCACTTCTGGGCGTGGGCCTCCCTTCAATACGAAGGGGATCAGGCCATAGTCCACCATGCTGGCCAAATGCGGGTTGGCGGACATCACATAGCTTTCGAAAATTTGTTAGCTTATCTCAGACGTGCAGGTTTCCTCACGATGTTTTCCTTCACCGTAAGACAAGTTATATTATATTTGTTTAATTGTCTTTTATTCATTTATACCAGAACTACTTGCTATTATGAAAAAAAAACAAATTAAAATAGCGTTAGATCAGTAAAGCAGCCAATCATTTTTCAGAAAAAATTCAAACATATGATATACATATTATACATAATATTTGGTAATTCTAATTGAGTGCATTGATTCATAAGTCTTATAAACCCAGTCTTATCTACTGTACAAGATTAGGTACATTGCGGACGCGCTAATAACTCGCGGAGCTATCGTATGTTATCACATAGCACACTGGCATTGGCTTGTTTCATTCATAAACACTGGAGATCCCGAAAAATATAAGTAAATCTAAAATTATGCTTTATATAATAACTAATAAGTATAATTTAAGTATTGTGACAAATGTTTTTGTTTGCGGTTTCTTTTGCCTTATTTTGCTTTAAAGCTTTATTTCATAATTATTATTTTGTAAAAAAAATATTTGTCCATTTTTTTACTTTAAAATTGAGCTCATATGGTTATTTCCATGATGCTAAAATATTTTACAAAGTACTCGATGGTATATAGAGAATTCATGCGAAAAGATAGGTTACTCAATATTCTGCTAATTAAGGGTTTTTATGGGAATTAGCAAAAAGGTACTTAATAATACATGGTTCCTATAGGATCGATAGAGACTAAGTGAAGACGAAAGGCTGGTTTAGTATATGCAGGGCTGAATTAACCATGTCGGGGACCCCTGGCAAATGCAATTCTCGGGGCCCCTTCACCCTTTTCTAACTCGATGGCCCATTTTCACATTTTTTTTTTCGTTGCGTGGGGCGGGGCCTCTAGCCGTTGCGGGTCCCTAGGCATTTAATAATATAAGTCAGTTAATAATATATAATTATTGTGAAAGAATTTAAACAGGAAATGTATGAATATCAATCTATACTATATACTGTATAGATTGATATTCTAATTTATAATCTATATAATATATATACTGTATATAATAAGCTGAATCTGTACATTAAATATCTTTTGGAAAATCTTATTGAAATAGACGTTATTATCGATACAGAGGCCGAATCTGTAGTTTTTAGACTTTTTGTCTGTCTGTCTGTATGTTTATGACTGCATCAGGAAAAAACCCCTGAACAGATTTTGATGAAATTTGGTATGCTAATTTAATAGCTGGTTATCCGGGTCATTATATAGGATACTTCTTACTGCGTGAAAATATCTCATCTCTGAGCTAAACGTTAAAACGTAATTAGGGATGAACCCGAGCGGAGCAAGGGTGAGTCGCTAGTAAGTTAATAAATTAAAATTCATTTTAGGTTCCCGTCACGTCAAAAGAACGCTGGCCGTTTACGCACTGAGCGATTTATCGATAAAATCGTTGGTATGAAGGTTTCGTGACGTAGGAGTACCTATTATGATTTTACAATAATACTATTACACTTACATATTATACTAGCTACTCACCCTCGATTCACTCGGGTTCCTCCCGAGATTGCTTCCCAATACAACCTTTCATCCTTATTTTCGCCCCCTTAAGGGATGATTTCCCGGATAAAAAGTATCCTATGTCCTTTCCATGGTCTCAAA